CCGCGCGCACCGAGGACGGAACCCACGGCAGCAATGACCTCGACGACTGGTGGGAGATGTACACCGATGGGGCCTCAAGTGCGCGGGGCTGCGGCGGAGGGGCAGTGATCACTTCTCCCGAGGGTTTCAAAGCCTACTACTCTATGAAATTTGAGTTCAAGGTCACCAACAACGAGGCTGAGTACGAGGCACTTATCGCAGGGCTGAAATGCGCGAAAGCCCTCGGAGCAGCTCGTCTGAAGGTGAGAATGGACATCCAGCTGGTGGTAACCCAGATGAATGGCACTGCTGAGACCCGGGAAGAGAGAATGAAGGTCTACAAAGAGCTGGCGGAGGAACAGACCGCACAATTTGAGCAGGTGGTGCTTGAGCAGGTATCGCGGGTGGAGAATGCAGAGGCGGACATTCTGTCAAAATTGAGCAACCCCCCAGCTGATGACCCGGCATCAAGCATCCCCCGACACATCAGAGGCTTCGTTAGGCAGGAGGTACTCCCAGCACCGGCAACGGACGTCATCCAGGTGGAGGTTATCTCCGTTGCCGAACCTAACTGGGCCAAGGAGATAGCAGATTATCTCAGAGATGGGACACTCCCTGAGCCTGAAGATGATGGCAGTACAGGAAGGGCTGCGTGGATAAAGAGGCGTGCCCCCAACTTTGAACTCATTGATGGGCAACTTTACAAGAAGACGTTCGGCGGACCCTACCTCAGGTGCCTCCCGCCAAGCCTGGCAGCGGCGGTAATCGAGGAAATACATGAAGGGATTTGCTCCAGCCACCAGGGCCCCCGAACCTTGGCCCGAAAAATCATCCTGCAGGGTTACTACTGGCCGACCATACAGCAAGATTGCTTCAACCACACGCGGAAGTGCGCGGTATGCCAGCAGTATGCACCTGTCCCTGGCCGCCCAGCGAGCTTCTACACCCCGATGACCATCGCGCTACCTTTTGCTAGGTGGGGCGTAGACCTGCTGGGTCCTCTGCCAACGGCTGCTGGTGGAAGGAAGTTCGTCATTGTGGCGGTTGATTATTTCACGAAGTGGGTAGAGGCCGAACCATTGGCCTCCATCACTGAATTCCAGTGCCAGAAGTTCGTCTGGCAGAACATCATTTGCCGCTTCGGGATCCCGGAGCAGATCATCACAGACAACGGTCGGCAGTTCGTCGGCAGAGGCTTTGAGGCATACTTGGCGAAGTGGGGCATCAGGCACTCTAAGGCCTCGGTGGCCTACCCGCAGGCCAACGGCCAAGTGGAGAACATGAACCGGACCATCATGGACGGGATCAAGAAGAAGTTGGAAGACTACACCTCCACCTGGCCGGAGCAGCTGAATTATGTCTTGTGGACGTACAGGACGACGCCAAGAACGGCGACTGGGGAAACCCCTTTTGCCTTGGCTTACGGATTCCAAGCTAAGGTACCGACGGAGGTACTGGTGCCTACCCATCGCACCAAGCACTTCCAGCCGGAGGACAACGAGATTAACCTACGAGCAGAGCTCCATTTCATCGAGGAACGGAGGGACCTAGCGGCTCGTCGCATGGAAGAGTATCACAGGGCCACCCAGAGATACTTCAACAAGGCCGTGAAATTCCGCGAAATAGAGGCCGGGGACCTCGTACTCAGGAAAAGAGAGAAGAGCAAACCGCTCGAAGGCGGCAAAATGGCGAAGAACTGGGAAGGACCCTACCGGATCATCAGAAGATATAACCAGGGGACGTTCCTCCTCCACACCATGGAGGGGAACCATGCCGGGATGTGGAACGTAGAGCACTTGAGAAAGTTCTATCAATAGTTAGGGGCTGTTGTCCTTGTATTATTCCCACTACCATGTAAAATGGCCGGACGTCGCCAATAATAAGGCCCCTGTTTTTTCTGAAATTCTGTTCTCACCAACGACCGATAAAGAAGGGAATCTCGATGCAGATAAACCTGTTCCTCCTTGTGATGTCTACGGATACCGGACGTCCCCTCGAGGTAGGAACGCCGGTAGGACCAAGGACCAAGGACGAACGAAGCAGAAGGGAATCTCGATGCAGATAAACCTGTTCCTCCTTGTGATGTCTACGGATACCGGACGTCCCCTCGAGGTAGGAACGCCGGTAGGACCAAGGACCAAGGACGAACGAAGCAGAAGGGAATCTCGATGCAGATAAACCTGTTCCTCCTTGTGATGTCTACGGATACCGGACGTCTCCTCGAGGTAGGAACGCCGGTAGGACCAAGGACCAAGGACGAACGAAGCACCAGGGAATCTCGATGCAGATAAACCTGTTCCTCCTTGTGATGTCTACGGATACCGGACGTCTCCTCGAGGTAGGAATGCCGGTAGGACCAAGGACCAAGGACGAACGAAGCAGAAGGGAATCTCGATGCAGATAAACCTGTTCCTCCTTGTGATGTCTACGGATACCGGACGTCTCCTCGAGGTAGGAACGCCGGTAGGACCAAGGACCAAGGACGAACGAAGCACCAGGGAATCTCGATGTAGATAAACCTGTTCATCCTTGCGATGTCGGCGGACACCGAACGCCCCCATGAAGTAGGGACGCCGGTGGGACCAGGGACCAAGGATGAACGAAGCACCAGGGAATCTCGATATAGATAAACCTGTTCCTCCTTGCGATGTCGGCGGACACCGGACGTCTCCTCGAAGTAGGGACGCCGGCGGGACCAGGGACCAAGGACGAACGAAGAGTATGGATTGCCTCCACCAAAAAAAAAAAAAAAAAAAAATGGGGAGAAGAGGAGAGGAGCTCCTATGTAGAAGGGAATCTTGCCCGGGTGTGCCAGATCTTCTCCAACCGCCGAAGACGAACGCCTCTCGGTGTAGAGGTTAGTAGAGACGCGGTGGGGGCTAGACGAACCAAGGGAGCCTGCCAAGATAAACCTGTTTATCCCACAAATGACCATGGATCGATGGACGTGGGGTAACAAAGTCGGGGACCCGTGAGGGTAGACCTGTTCGTCCCTGCGAGTCCTTGGGTACCGAACGTCCTCTTCGAAGCAAGAGACGTCGGTAAGGCTAAAAGGACCACGGACGAACGAAAAGGGGGGAATCTCGATGTAGATAAACCCGTTCATCCTTGCGATGTCGGCGGACACCGAACGTCTCCTCGAAGTAGGGACGCCGGTGGGACCAGGGACCAAGGACGAACGAAGACTAAAAGACTCTAGAAGAAAAAAAAAAAAAAAAAAAAAAAAAAAAAAAAAAAAAGCCGGAAGAGCAAGGAGCAAAGAATGATTCTTTTATTCTTCGGTACAAACGGACGCACCTAATCCAGCCTGAGCTTTGAAGGGCTCGGCCACCAGCAACCGGAGGTTCTGGATGCCAAGTCCGGCTATGCGCTTGGCATATCCAAGCTCCTCGTCCGTCATGGGCGGCCGGATCGTCTTCACAGGGTAGGCATTCCACCGATCAGAGAATGGCATCGGTGAGCCTACTCCGGCCAGGAAGAAGCGCTCTTCCCAACCGTCTGGGTTCCCAGCGTTGTTCGAGAACAGAACCATGGACGGACGGGCAGTCAGGGTTAAATACCCTGTACGTCCGAAGGTGGACAGACGAAAGAAGTGGTGCAGCAGGTCCGCGGTGGGGGTCACACCGACGCTGTGGCATCTAATGATGAAGCCAGCGATTATCCGATAAGCGGCGGGGACGAGCTGCGCAGGAACAATCTCAAGGGCCCTGAAAAGTTCCAAGTGGAAGCTGTGCAGGGGGAAGTTCAGCCCGGCTATCACCGAATCTAGGTGGACCACCACATAGCCGGGCAGGTGGCGCATGGGGTTTCGTAGACGCCGATCGTCGTAGGTCCTTGGGGGATAAAACCATTGGCTGATCAGCCGCTTGTCAGCGTTCGTCAGGCGTTGAACTTGACGCCGGACGCATGAGAAGTTAAGGCTGTAACGGGGAGGCCGGGGTGGCATTCCCCGCTCATAATACTCCAGGTCATCACCGGAAGAACATCCATCGTCAAAGCGACTTTCGGAAGACATGTCAACGAACGGTACCTTTGGGGTTCGAGATTTCCGATCTTGGTATTTGAGAAATCTAGAGAGAGAAAACAATTGAGCAGCGTAAGGAGAAATGTGAGTGGATCACTTGGGCCCTGGGTATTTATAGGCAACACCGCAGAATTGCCCCAACCGAAGCGGGACACGTGGCACCTGGGAACCGGTACCTACCACGGTATTTAAGGCGTCTCGATTTTGTCGCCGCATAACCATCACAAGACATCCGGGTCCGTGCCACGGACGTCCCTTGAGGAGGGTTCACCGGCTCCGAGGAATTTGGAGACATTCGCCTTCCATTGCTTCCGTAATCCCCCGGCTGACCCTAGCGTTGGCGGCTGATGAGGGCACATGCATCAACCGGCTACGTCCGTCTTGCGGTACTCCAGTTTTTCACGTCACGCAACGGTAGACGAGCGTCGTCACCAAGCGCTGTTTCAGTGAAATACACCCGTACGTCCATACTCGAGACGCATACTGACAAGGCAGCTACCGACGAACGTCTTCCCATTGTCAAAGATACCGCGTGGACGGTAAAGATGTGTCGAGGCGCCGGAATGGCTCCTTATACTACAAACAATGGACACAAAAAGGATGGAGGAAGAATCACGTCCATTAGCGGTGCACGGAGGATGAACGTCGCCTTTCCACACTTCATGACAGATGAACACGCAGAACAGACGAACGTCCCGCGCTTTGAATGTTCATATCACACGACGACGGACGGACATCGTTATCAAGTGCTGGTGCTGAGAAATACGTTCCTATGTCTACACTTCGAGCGTACACCATAAACCGCTGACGAGCGTCGCTCCATTGTCAGAACATGTTGAGTACGTACGGAGGTTCGACTTCGGGACATTTTTTGCCTGGAAACAAGTAGAGGTCAGATACGAACGTCCTCTCGGACGCTGACCTTGCTACAAGGCGTGTCGGGCCGCCGAAAGGATTTTCCATACAACGAAGGACAAAGGGAATGAAAATAACAAGGCAGAAATCATGAACATAGAACAATTATGGGCAAAAAGACATCTGTATTCTTCGGCACTTACGGCCGGACATTACAAATAGCTGGAATGGAAAAATGTAAATGACATTATACAAAGAAAGGGGACCCTGGGCGGCTGCTGCCCTTGTTCGGCTCCTCCTCCTCTTCCTCAGGCTCGGGGGTCGGCGGCTCTGGAATCTCCCCCCTGGCCTTGGCCTCCTCCCGGCGCTGATCCCTCCTCAGTTTCCCTAGCGCCTGGATTAGGAGATCGTCATCCGTGTTGGCCGCCAAGTCAAAGTCGGGCCCCAGCAGCTTGGCGAACGTGGGTAGGGTGGCCTTTACCCCTTCATTGTAGCCGGCGGCGAAGGTGCTGTCGCCGACCTCATATAGGAACTTGCGAGACAGGGGAGAGCCCTCAAGGATCCGGACGCCGCGGGCCAGGCGCTGGCGGGGCGGAATCTTCTCCAGAGCTGCGGCGAACAAATCGGCGAAGACCCCGGCGCAGTAGTCCTTGGCGGAGTCCATAAACTCCCCAGTGTTCCGATAGCCGGAGGTGTCAACCAACCACTCCGGAGTGGCATCCTTGGCGGCAGGGAGCACCGGGACAAGCTTAAAACCGGCTCTTTCAAGGGCGGCCAACTGGCTATGAGACTCAGCCTGCAGGGCGGCAATCTCCCTCCCCTTGGCTGCGGCCTCCGCATCAGCTCGACGGGCGGCCTCCCGTGCCGCAGCAACGGCCGCATCAGCTTTAGCCTTGGCCTCCTTCAGATCGGCCTCCCTGGCAGCTTCAGCCTGAAGGACTAGAAGCCCCGACTGGATGACAGAGGGGAAAAATATTAGAGGATGAACGTCAAGGGAAAGGTGTGTTCAGATCTGGTAAAGAAGGAATACCTGAAGAGCGGCGGCCAGGGCAGCACTGGTCGCCTCAGACGACGAACGGCGGGGCAACTCAAGACCGGCACTGAGGGCCATCTCCCTCCAGAGGTCTTCCGCCGGCCGGCTTAGTGGCAGAGAGCCGGCGTCTTCGAGCAGAGGCCCGGAGGAGGCTGCCTCACGGCCCCTCTTCTGCTTCTTTTCAGGGACCTTCTCAGTCCCCTTCTGAGGAGCCGTCTTCGTTGGGACGACCGGCGGCGGAAGGGCGGCTTCGAGAGCAGGGGCCCCGGAACCCTGGGCCAGCATAGTGGCGATTAAATGTTGCTCACCCTCGGCGGTTCGCCTGGCAGCATCAGAGGCCGAGGAGTGGGACTCCGAGGCAGGGGCGTTCTTGGCTTTCGCCATCGCAGCTTTAGCCGCGGCCGCCTTGGCTTTCCTGGTCTTCAGACACTCGGCGTGATTCATTTGGTCTCTATCGGGCGGTGGACCTGCAAGAAACAACAAGGATTAGAAGCCGAGCGGGAAGTAGAATAAGACACTCACCTCGAAGGACAGGACCGCCCGGGCCCCGAGACGAGCGTCGAAGGGTAGAAAAAGTCCAGGAACACGGGCGGTACCTATGCCTGCCCCAGAGAGTGCCTCGAAGGTCAGAAATCCGGCTATGGGACGGACGCCACCCTCCGACACCTTCTCCGCATCCAAAAGCAGATCGTCGGTCGGCTCCGGCGACTCAATCTTTGGGGGATACCCGTTCCACCGGAGAGGGAGGGGAGGCCCGTCGTATCGAAGGAAGAAGAAGCGGTTCTTCCAGTCGTGGATGGACGAGGGGTAGTTCTTGAACAGCCGCTTCCCAGGACGTGCGGCCACGCTCAGATACCCGTCGGCATTCTGAGGAGTGACGCGGTAGAAATAATGGAAGAGCTCCAAAGTGGCATCGACCCCCGCGAGTTTACAGCGCACCAAGAAGGCCGATATGAATCTGTAAGAATTTGGCATGAATTGCGCCGGGGCCACCTGGAAGCAGTGGAAGAACTCCACATAAAACGCATGAAGTGGAAACCGCAGCCCGGCTTCAACAGAATCCAGGTGGAGCATGATCATCCCCGGACGTCTCCTCATCACATGCTCAGCGCCTCTCACACTCCAGACGAACGGCGGAGGAAGGAAGGTGCGGATTTTATTGAGGGCCACACGGGAGAGGACTTGGTCGTGGTCAAGGGCGCTCCTAATCGGGCAGATGTGGCGCTCCATATCCGTGGGGATGCCCAGATCATACACCTCCATATCAGAACCGGATTCGGCTTCCTCTCCGGAATCATAATCAGCGGGACGCTCATTCAGGGGGACCGCATCAATAACGTCCACTGCCTCATCGGCATCCCCACCCCTGGCGTCGCTCCCACTATCTTGAGACACATCATCCGGCTCGCCATCAGCCCGGATGGTCCCCACCGTCGTGGCCGAACCAGAGGTCCCGGAAACACTAGTTTTTCCCAGGGAGCGTGCATTAGCATTTTCAGAAGAGGAGCCCGAGGAGGAACCCGACGAATCGGAATCAGAACTCGAGGAAATCTCCATCGAAGTCATTCCGGCTAGAAATCAGAGTAAAGGAAAGAAGCAGAGGGGGGAAATTACCTTACAAAGGTATGGTTGGCCGAATTCAGGAAACTTGAAGAGCTGCGGAAAATCGAGAGCAAGAGAACAGAAATTGGGAACCCTAATTCAGAGGGCAAACCCAGCATTTATAAGGGAAGCACCGAAGGAGAAACCAACGAGGGGCTGACACGTGGCAAGGAGCGTATTCCAGCCCACGCGCTGTGCGTGGGATGGGAACGTAATGATGACACTTCCTCGGGAAAATGCGCCGCCGCAACATCAGCCGTCACCTCGTTTCCTGAACCGTCAACAGCTGTCAAGCACCATGGCCACGAGCGTACGTTTCCACCAAGTGCCAAGATACGGACGTCCACTTCGGGAAGGTTCATACTTCCTTATGTCCTGCGCATGCTCAGAACATCAGAAGTGGGGGACTTGTGTTGGGTTAAGGGCCCAAGCCGAGGTCCGGCCCACTAACCCATTTTGCCAGACGAGCGTCCAACTAGAAACTAGGCCAGCCCACAGGCCCATGTTCTTTAAGGAGGGACGAACGTCTGGTGTTGGAGGACTCAGGCCCAGCAGCTCATTCCGACGAACGTCTATGCAGGGACAAGGAGCAGAGCCACGGGCCACCAGGGATGGCGACGAACGTCCCCAGAGCAAACCTGTAGTCATCGGAGGAAACCCAGTGCACATGGTTAGTATCTATCAAGGCCAGGAGACGAACAGCCAATATCCCTCAAGGGTCACTTGGTGCAATCCAACTCACTTCCCGGGTGGACGAACGTCCCCACTGATCCGGCGGGAAACCTAGATTCTGGCGGGAAGTGCATTTAATGCTAAAGATTTGGTAGTTGGGACACCAGCGGTCCACAGGCTGCCACGTCAGTACAGCCACCTGCCCATTGGCGGGTATAAATAGAAGCATTTATTTCATTGTAAAGGGTTGGCAACTTTCTATTCTTAGCATACTAGCTTCAGCATTCTTACTTGCAGCATTTCTAAGTGCCTTGTAAGACGAACGGCCGACGTGCCTTTTCAGCAAGTAGATTGTACTTAGGGGAGTTATTACGAAGTTAATAATACCTATTTACATTGCCTGCTATTTCTCTTGTTTCCTGATCCATCTGAAAGTTGTTGGGCTAGATATCCAAACACTCCACTCGAAATCTTTGGGCTTACGTGTTGGGTCCAAGGGTTGAAGGAATAAACCTCAACAAATTCATTTGAATGCCTTCCTGATTGAATTTTTAGCTGAAATTTGGTATGAGTAAGAAACCACCCCAAATGACGACGTCCGGACAGAGCCTCCTAAATAAGGGCTTATTTGACCTTTTTTGGTTAGTACATGGGCCTATTTGCACCTTTTCCCTATATTAAATTCCAATCAAGTGAATACCATTAAGTCAAGTGAGCAAAACAAATCCTAAATGATTAATCCAAATAATGGGATGCCATCATCCATCAAATTATCAAATTAGATCAAATTTTACTAGGGCTTTAAATTGAATCTAACTCAACCAAAAAGGTAACTATACACACTTCAATATATTAAACTAAACTTCTATAAAGATACCACATGAGAATATGATGTACTTTTACCATCATCTTCAACTATTTATCTAATTCATTTTTACACAGTGGACACCGTGATATTATTCTCAGCCATTGATCCACACACTTGAGATGAAACATATGAGAACAAGGGAGTTTCCTGATCTCTTCCTTTTCACTGTATTGTGCTAAGCAAATGCAACATTCCTATCAAACAAGCAAAAATCACAAAAATTTAATTTAAACGCAGCAACATTTGAATCATAGACGATTATCTAATTCCTTAAACCCAAACCGGGTTACTTGGTCTAACCTAAAAAGTTAATTTGATAAGAGGAGTAACTTATAATAGGTTTGAGTTGTTTATATTTAGCCGTTTTGGGATAAACACTTCAACACAAACTTCAAAAGAGTGTATTTTTAACATTAATACAACAAATTCTATCTTACTACAAAGTCTAAAACAATCGTATTAAAATTTGGAGTTTTATTTTACACTTTGTATCTGATGTTGGAAAAAAAATTCAATAGACCACCATATCATGAACTATCTATGATTCCAAATGGAAAAATTTGTTGTTGTTGTCAATAGACCACACTATTTGCACACATTTTTATACACACATCCCCTTAGTTGTCAAAAAAATTGTAGTTTTAAGAAAATTGGGATGTTTGGTAAATGGCGTTTCAGCTGAAAAATGGCGATTTGACTACTTTTAGCATTTCCAATAAGTGAAAAAACTACTTGGTAAATATTTGTTCGGCACTAGCCTTTTGAACGGAAATGCTGAAATGGAAACGCTGCAAATAAGAGAGTTTTAGGTTTGCGTTTTGAAATATGCATGAGATTTTCTAGTAATTTTATAGCCAATCAGCTAATGACAGAATCCACTATTGACAACCCGTTATCCCCTAACCGCAAAATTCCAAACACGCTCAAAATGCACACAATTGTATGTGTAACGTCGCGTGTACACGCCTTGACGTGAACATGAAGAATGACCAATTCGAAATAGTGATGCTACTTACCGGGTTTTGATTCTCCCATTCCGAATTGTTGATGATGAGTTCCTTGTACTTCCAGGTTGGTAAACATGAGAGTTGTTCATCGGATGCCCCTCGGTCAATGGATCCCATGTTCATGTTGTATCCTAGGAAGCTGCTAACCAGTGGGACGCAACAACACATCAATACAAACAATAGGAATGGAAATGAGTAGGTGACTGCATTCCAGGCAAGGAGGGAGATGCAGAGGATGAGGAGCTTATTTGGAGGATTTGAAGACCCAAACCGTGAATCAAAGACCCAAATGTTCCCCATCACAAACCATATTGCGAAGAATAGCTCGATTAAGGTCCTGCATTTCTCCATCATTGGGAGTCTGTTTAATTGTGGCATGGATCATTGCAACAAAGAAAATGTTAAACATTTCATCTGGTGTTTCTTTTTCACTTTTTATTTCTGATGTGTTAATATATTATTGGTCCGAATAATCTTTGTATATTAATAATCTTTATATAATATAAATCTTTACATATTATAAAGTAACAAAGTGTCACAAGTTTTGGCCCAAAAAATCCCGCCCAAAGTGAATAAAAGTTATATAAGCTTAAGAGTTTAATTTAGTAATGAATCTTTTTAACCCATGTGCCAATAGTAGTAATTATAAGTTGTACGTACTAATTCCAATTCAAGCCACACTTCGTATAAATCGCCTAAAAGACGCATACCGTGTAATATCCATTTACATAAAAGTTATGGTTGTATAATCTTAGGAAATTAATGATCGAGGTATACATACCATAAATACATGACTATACCGTGTAACACTTGAGCAAATTGTCAAATAAAAATGTGATCCAACTTCAAATAATTGAACAACAACATCATTAATAATAAGAATAAAATAATAGCAAAAAATAACAACAACAACAACAACAATGAAATAGTTTATTTTTGAAATAAGGGTCATTTTAAGTAACGTGTGTTACACACATATGACGCTCCCAAGGCAATTGTACATGTCCCTTTAACCCCAATTCTATCATACAAGATGAAAGTGTTGAAATTGGTAAACCACCTTCTCCTATTTATAATAAATTCACCCTTATTTATGTTATCATATTGTAATACACAATTCTTTTTCAGAATTGATTTCAAATATGAAACTCAAGTGTAGAAAATGCATCAAACGACCATGACACTGGTAAATATGATCCAAATATTGCACCAATATTGTATGGTGGTCCTATACTTTCATATGAAGGTAAGCAAAATTTAAAATACTTTTAAAATGTAACTAATGATGCATCAGAGATTCATCATACATGATGATCATTTTTTTCATATGTGTATGTCACACATGGTTAGGGACAAACTTAGCACATATAGATTCATGTTAAGTATGTTGTTACTTTTCCTCAATGTTATACCAATTACTATCACAGTCATGTGCAGTAGTTGTAACCAACCATTTATTTAAATATGATTGGAATTGATGTTTATATATTTTGTAACAAACACAATTCCCTCGAATGAAGACCTAAAGAATTTTATTATGTACGAAATAGATAAGTTATTGTGAGATAATCAACGAGTTTGACTCGGTTCTCATCCATGTCATGACATGAGATGTCATTGATTTCTGAATCATAAAGTAGACTTCTCTACGATGAATTTATCTAGCTAATAACTTATCATTAGATAAATTATTAAGCTAGTATAACTGAGTCAAACATTGTCTAGCTACTATAAATGTCTCACATCTTTGGAAACATTGTCACATTATCACTTCAACAAAAAATGAGGCTATGGTGTGGTTCTTCACATTGTAAAGTCGATGATTGAAAGTTTCTCAACTTTGGTGGTCAAAATAGAAAATGAAATATTGAAAATGTCAGATATGAAGATATAGGTCTCTCTTGATATACCTGAAGATTACTTATTACCATTTGAGATGTCCATATTAATGTAATAGTAGTTTGCTTTCAATGCAATCAATTCCCAATCACCATTTCATTTTCCACAATAATAAAGATAAATCAATTACAATCTCTGCATTAAGCACCGTATATATATATATAGGGTAAGGTTCAAGAGAGAAGAACCCTTTGGGTGAGAAATGAGAATGAATCTCAGCCATTGGATTCGACTAAGTTGCAGTAAAAGACACTTCATGATGCACTGAAATATGCAATCTAGCACGGTGGCATTTCTGTAAATACTTCTGAAAAATCCGTATTACACGTGTCTAGTGCAACATGAAGCTATTTCGGTGCAACGCCGTCAAATATTAATGCAACGTGAAACAGTTTTAGTGCAACATGTGCAAAATTCAAATATTACTGCAACATAAAGCCAATTTTAGTGCAACTTCGTAAATCCAATGGCTGAGATTCATTCTCATTTCTCACATTAGATGGATTTCTCACCTGAACCGAAATCTATATATATATATATATATATATATATATATCAAAAATTATTTTCGTGTTTATTTAAGTGTACACTGTCATGCTAATTCAAGGGTCACCTTAAAGAGCCCGGTGTTCATTGTCATGTCAAGCGTCACCTGAAGGAGTGAGTTGAAAATTCTTATATGTGATTAAGAGAGTTGTGCTAGCAACACTACTCATAATATGGTCTATAAATACCTTTTCCAAAAGCTATAATTCTTTTTGTATAGTGCCAACATATATGACCATTCATTTTTATAAAGCTACCTTAGGGCCATTGAAGGAGACGCTTAAATTTTAAAATCGTGGTATTTTAGTATCAAGTAGTTACTTATTCTCACACATTACCCTTTATTTTAAATATACTTTGCAATTTGTCAATAGTTTTTTCCTACAAACTACAATTATACATGCAATAAAAGTTACTAGTACAACATATAAACATTCAAAATAGATATGTCTCCGTCATCTCTCTAGAGAGAGGAACCCTAGCGGCCGTCTCCCCTCTTTGTAGGGGTTGAGATTTTCCGCTACCCCCGATCAATATGGGGTTAAAGCGACAGATTATACTGATTTTAAGTGTCCTGACGCTTGAGGTTGCAACTACATCAGAGGAGATAGCGTTGGCAGATGAACGAGGTGCGGCTGGGAGGTTGTATCGAGGATGGATTGTGAAGTCTTGGTCGGTCTTTCCGACGGTGGTGGAGTTGGTATTCATCCATATTGCAATAGCTCGTCCTCCTCCGGAACCACCTCCATACCAGGAAGAGCTTCACGGAAAGTTTTTATTTCGGTATTATTTTCTCTTTAGTAGCAATGGTTTATGTTTTAGTCCGGGTAGATTTGGTTTGAATGTTTGGATTTATGGAGTTCTTTAGATAGGGAGAGTTTCAGTTCCGATCGTTTTAGGTCTAAATTTGCATGTTTCAGGTTTCGCGAGTCATGTTGCTTTGTATGAAGTGATGATTCTAAGTCTACTCCTAGAGTTCACGATTGGATCTGTAAATTTTGTGTGAGGTTTGTCTTGTATGTTTCTCGATTTTAACATAACGGCCGATGTTTTATGATATAAAAAAAGTTACAACATATAAACTATACTATATTTTTCATTTAATATAATTGCATATTACGTATCAAAGTTGTTGTATTATGCTCTAGATGTACCCGGGCATCGCACGGGTATTACGTCTAGTAGTTATACAAAGAATCAACTCAATGCAAGCTCAAAGCCCCAAATAAAAAGCACAGGCAGGATTTTTGGCAACATGGGATTTTTGACAGAGTATTCCAAAGGGGATTGTTTTGAAATAAAAGTAAAAACAAGATTAAAATCCAGAATAAGAGTACTATGTTTTTTGACAATGTTAAATTTCAAAAAATAAGTACTTTATTTTGCTCCCCTAAATAAGAATATTGCCATTTTAAAACCATATTTTACATCATGTTTTGACATTACTAGACATCAATATAGCAATACTAATGTCACATTTGGCAGTATTTTCCAAGCATTATAACAATTACTCTTATTTTGAGAAAAAACATGACACTCATATTTTGGCATTTCGAATTATTTGTACTTCTATTTCGGAAATTTACGCTAAAAATTACTCACCTCATCTCTGAAAACTTTGTCTTTGATTTTTTGGTTAATGAATTTTAATTTTGACTAATGATATATTTTATAGAAAATTTGTTATGATATAAAAAGATAAGAAAATGTTCATCAAAATTATTATAACTTTCACAAAAAAATGTTAAATCAATATCATTGGTCAAACCTGCCACCTTTAACTTAAAATTTCAAAAATAGCAAAGTTTTAAAGGAAATGAGATACTCCCTCAGTCCCAAATTGTAAGATACATTTACTATTCACTTGGTCAACATAAATCACTTCTAAACTTTTATTTTATATATCAAAAGTTTATGAAGTTTGAATTATTTTTTGCAGGTTTTGTAGCGGATTTAATGTAGTTTTTGAATATGTAAATTTTATTTTCTAGAACTAATTTGGGTGTTGACAGGGATTAATTTGCTTTATCGTCAGTCAAACATCGTAAACCGAAATGTATCTACAAATTGGGACGGAGGGAGTAGTAATTAATCGAGTTCTAAAAAAAGAATATAAGTATTCTTTTCGTCCTAAGTAAAAGATCTCATTTAATTACCACTTTTAGACATCTCATTTAATTTAAAGGTTTGCATTTCTTTTGAAAGAAAGGAACTTAATTAGCATTAATCAAATCGTTGACTAAAGCGAATACGATAAAAGTAGGAGGAGAATAAAACCAAGAGCGTGAATCAAATCGTTGACTAAAGCTGATACAATAAAAGGTTTGCATTTCTATTTTAGAAAATAACTAACACTCTAATTAAGTGACAACTTAATCACTAACTATTAAAAAAGTACACTATATCACAATGATCATTAATTACTCCAATATATTATATACTCACTCAAATTATTATTAATCAAAATATATTCAAATCACCTCATTGAATTACGGAGTATTAGGGTGTTTTCACTTAGACCGAAATTTGTTGGTCTTGTCTGGTCTTGTCTGAACGGGTCTGGTCTCATAATGTTTGATTTCTGTGTATTTTTATAACTACCCAATTCTGGTTTGATCTGATTTGGTCTGGTCTAATCTGGTATGTTGTGATCTTCTCTGGAACCGAAAACAGTCCAAATAGAAACATCTTTAGCTAAAAAATGTGTCACTTTTTAATGAAAGCCTTAAACGGGGCATAAATGTAGTACTTCATTCCTTTTAGAACTTCATTAAAAGAAACATCGATGCTTCTATTCGTGGCAATATGTGATGTCTTAGCTCACCTGGTAGGAAGGGAGTGACACAAGGGACAAGTCTCGGATTCAATTCCAAGCAATGACTTAGAATGGAACTCCACTTTATTTCGTAGTATAAATGATCTCACGTTTCATTGATTTTCTCAAAATAGTCACATATACTTCGTATTATTTTTTGATTTTTTTTTCCCATCTTTTTATTATTTTATTTATTTTATATGTTTATGTATTTCCTTTCAACGAGGAAGGGAAAAGTCCTCGTAGCAAACAACAAATTTTTCATTATGTACTTCCTTTCAAGAGAAAAAAGTTAATCTAATCGTCACTCAAATATCATAAATGGGACAAGTAAGGGAAAATTCCCAAAATATAAGTAAAAATGTTTCAGAATTTTAAAATAGGATTGTCATAATTCTATTCCCTAAATAGGATGTCTAAAGTTTGATACATGATGCAATGGTCCTATTTTGGAATATAACGACATTTTTAGTAACTAACCTGGATTCCTCAAGACTTCTTCCTGGTCTTCTCTGCTGCTCTATATCAGAAAATGCAGATGAAGGATACGTTTGGCTCAAATGGAATACCCAATACCGGAAGTAGAGCAGCAAAAGGCTGAGCATACAACCGAAAACATAGCCAATGACCCAAATCCTCATTGTAGGCCAAACAGGCCTATCTTCCCTGGAGACAGCCAGAATGTATGCTGTAATAAGTATTTGGACAGTCAAAGTGATGAACTCCATCATCATCCAAGTCAAAGAATTGAATGGGTTGGATCCCAGATCATCCTCATAAGGGGGAAGCCTTAATCCATTATTATGACCATTCTGGTAGTGAAACACCCTTCTAAGGAAGATGAACCACCTGGTTCTGGATATTCTCATTGCCACTCTCAACATGAAGGATGGGGATGAACGTTGGGTTCTGGAAGATGGTGACTCCTGCTGGTTTCTTGATGCAACTACTGAACCAGACATCGTTTTTTCTTCTGTCTTCCCAATGAAGAGATGAATACCAATATATGCTGAAGGCTCTAACTACTCGGAATTTCATATGACATCATCATATATATAGTTATGGATCTGATTAACACCAAATTTTAAGACTTAAAATGTGTATCAAATAGATTAAAATTTTCTCACATCCACCAAAATACCAAATTATATGACCAGAATTTGACATTTACAAACTTCAAAGTGGTGGGTCATTTTCATGAACCGTTCTCTTGTAAAATTTAAGTTAAATATTAAGATAGTATATCCGTTCTACTCAACTTTGACAAGTTGATGTTTCGGGAGAAATTAGAATAATAAAAACTGTGTGGTTGCAGAAATAAACAAAGCACAAATTCATCACTCTAAAATGAAAGTAACAAAGTTTTTTGAGACAAACAAAAAAAGGAAAGTTGACTAAGTCTAGTTTGACGGAGGGATTACTATTCTGCAAATATAATGCTTTGTGTTTCACGTTCATTCAGATTTTTTGGTTTGTTTTTTATCTCTGTAGATTATGTTTATTTTGATTTTAGTCCATCACGGATAAGAAAAAAAGTCCAACACTAATCATAATGACCTACGTTTGATAATGAAATATCCCCAAATGATTTTCTAGCTCTATTATTATCCATGGCTAAAATAAATAATTACATATTTATGACTATAATAAAAATTGTTTCTCATGCAATCCGCTTAGTGGGTCTTAATCTAATTCTTCTTCGATCCCTTTTAACAAGGGACAATCGCATTTTTAGTCTTTGAAATAGTTACCATATTGAAATGTCAGACCCGTATTTCCGAGTTTGTAAATGTCACCCCTGAATTGTCCAAATTGCCGTAAATGTGATCTTTTGAGGGGTCAAATGTACTCCTCATCCAGTTTGTACATTTCACCGCTCAAAGGATCACATTTATATCAATTTGGACAATTGAGGGATGACATTTACAAACTCGGAAATACGGGTCTGACATTTCATATTTCAATGTGGTGACTATTTCAGGAACTAAAAAAGCGTCTTTCCCTTTAAACAATTTGTTTGTGCTTTCTACTACTACGTATTAAACTTCTCTCACTTCCACATAAAAATCAATCATAAAAATTACGGAGTAGTTTGCAAAAATGTTAATAGTGGCCTAACCAACATTTACTAGCTCTGGCCTACGCTCGGACTATGGTCAAGAATCGAAGATGTGAAAATAAAGGGATAATGGATGAACATGAGAGGAATATATATGACGATGACATAGAAGCAACCATCAGCAGCGGCAAGTTCATGAAAAAATCTCTTGGTTTGTTTGGTTTCTAAGCAAAAGCTCAAAGAAACTGGCCGGCCGGTATACAATTACACCTATCACCTACTCTCAAGATTACAAAACGGACAACATATTTCTTTTTTATATATTCTGGTTTCCATGATGCTGACAAAAGACTATCCAATACAGATTACACGTGTGTTAAAGATCCGGGATTCCATCCTAAAAGGTCAACCTGATAGGAGGAATAACTCAAAGCCTTATATAGCTTTAATTTTTTTAGATATATTTTCAGTGAGGCAAATGCTTTAACAACGTGGAAAATAGAACTGGTTTCCATGACTTTGTCAATTTTTTTTGTTTGTCTCAAAAAATTTGGCACTTTGTTTTTAAAAAAAATGAAGTTGTGGATATATTGCAGGTCTTGCAGAGGGGCAACAGGGGCGACCGCCCTAGGGCGCAAAACTGAAATAAAATAGGTCCAAATTTGTTGTATATAGTGTGAGTAGACTTCATTTTTATTTTTAAGTACAATTAACTAGGCCTAATGATCAATTTTTGTTGACAATTTGAAAATTTAGAACACATGTATAAAAGTCTTTAACGGAGCTAAGTTTTTAAAAAATATACAGATTAATTTTACCTAGGACTGGTTGTAGGCTTCAAAAGCAACACAATTGTTGCTGAATTAATAAAAGACATGCATCTTCAGTTTTCACATCTTTTTAGCCTTTAAGATTTTTTATCCCTTTTAATTATTATAAAATAACAAATTTATATAATTATTGTCCAACCTGTGCCACCTAAATCCCATCTAGAGCTGTCAAACGGGCCAACCCGACCCGTGACGGGTTAGGCTTTATGTGGGTTGGGTCGGGCCAACCTGTTTAATGACGGGTCAGGATTTCTACAACCCTAACCCAACCCACCTAACCCGTGGGTTAAACGGGTTGGCCCGCAGGCCAATGTAAATATATATATATATATATATATATATATATATATATATATATAAAAGAAAAATAAATAAAATTAATTGCCCGGAAGTATTTATTTATATTAGTAAGTAGTAACAAAGGAAATATAAGAAATTAAAATACTAAAAATTCAATACTTGTTAAGTTAAATTAAAAAATATCAAATACTAGTTATGCGAGAATTTGAAAACTATAAAAGGGTATGCGAAAAAAATACTCATTGTATAAAAATAAAGATCTACATAAACCTTTTGATTAATTATTGGTAATTAATGACTACTAATTGTTAAATATTGTATTGAACTTTACATAAAATATTTGTTTCAAAATTTTATTTGAATATTTATTATAGAAATAAATATTGTTTTGCCATGGTTATAATTTTTAATTGTAATTACAATAATATTGGTAGTAAAAGAACAATATTTAAGATAATAAAATTCAAAGCTATGTTTTTATATTTTGGCCCGCGGGCCAACCCACAACCCGGTGGGTCAACTCATTTAAACCTGCAACCCGCATGGGTTGACCTGCGAAACCCGCGAACTAAATGGGTCAGAATTTTTCAACCCTAACCCACCAATAAATGGGTTTAAACGGGTCAGCCCGCGAGTTTTGACTCATTTTGACGGCTCTAAATTCCCATCGTCCCAATTGTTTTCAAATTCCAATTACAAACAAAGTGATCAATAAACAATAACTGAGTTCCTAATACCAGTTTTAGAGGACGTCAAATTGGCGATCTTTTGTGCGAGTCTTCTTGATTGCCAAACTTTTTTACTCTTTAAAAAACTTTATTCTTTCGAGGTTTCAAACTTTAGACTCTCAGCAGTTATTAAATCATCCTCAACTTGTGAATTCAATATGCAGTAATATTTGTTTTCGTTTAACCTTTAAGTTGTTATATGTAGCATTTTTATTTTCTTGTTAAATTGATATTTGTTTGCTATTGTGCAATTTTATATTTCTTTATTATTTATAATTTTTACTATTGGAAAAAGTTGACCGTGAAGCTATTATATATTAATAATTTGCTTCACATTCTTTTGCAAGAAACGTTTTTGACTAATGTTTTTCCTTGTTACATGAGACTTGCATGTGTTATTACTTTTGTCCAACTATGTAATTTAATTAATACTAAAGTGATTTTTACCTTTATTTTATGACTTCTATTAGATAGTTTTATTATAATTCATGTTTTAAATAGAGAAAATTATTATTTGCTCCCTGAGATTATATCATAATTATTAACGCAACCTTGCATTTTCAAAAATCAATTAGTTACCCCCTAAGTTTTGACCATTCTCACTATATACCCCCTAACATTAATATTTGTTAAATTAAATTTAATATACCTCTTAAATTCAATGAAAGTTGTACATAAAATTAATTTTTAAAATATAAAACATTTTATCATCATAATTATAAGTCATCGTTGATGATCATTTGTTTTTTCTACTTAACTACTCGATCGTGGATTCATGGAGTAACTATTAATGAGAGTGGTCAAGGGGAAGACTCGTGAGTCATATCATGGGATACATAAAAAGAATTGTTTATAAAATGTGTTATCAAAATTCCAGGCATTTCTTCATTATGAATATAAAAGTGTTATTTGAATTCATCGCAATGACATTTCTTTCGTGTGTAGCAAAGAAGAAATACTAAGATTTTTTTATCATCCCATGACCTAAAAAATATGTTTAGTATCAATAAGAAACCTAAAAGACAAAATGTGTGATGATTATTCCAATTATTCCATATCTGAATAATCGGAAGCTATAATCTAAGACCTAATATATCATAGATTTTAATTTATTTAAAACTCTTGTTAACTCTGTGACTAATTTGTGATGATTATATCTTTACAAAAGTTTTTTTACTGTAAAGAGTTTATTAGTTTTATATGATTAAATGATATTTAATTTTTTAAAATACAAATATTGAAAATTCATGATATTTTAATATTTTACTCGTGATATCAACAACAATGACTTATAATTATGATAATAATTTGTGTTTACATTAAAAAATTATTTTATAGACATTTTTCATTGAATTTAAGAATTATATTAAATTTAAATTTAACAAATATTAACGTGAGGGGGCAAAGAACGAGAATGATCCAAACTCAGGGGGTATCTAATTGATTTTTGAAAATGCACGGTTGCATTAATAATTATGACATAACCTCAGGAGGTTAATAGTAAATTTCCCTTTCAAATACTCCGTAAGAATTAATTCTACTTTTGATCCTACGAGCTTTATGTCATTTTCACATTTAGTCCACGTCTTTTACTTGAATTTATCCACTTCTGATACTTGACTAATGTTTCGTAAGTTTTTAATCATTTATTGTCCTTCTCCGGTGATTTTAACCACCGGAATTATTCCGGAAATGATCATATATGGGCGAAAATTCAATAGTTGTGGACCAATTATGAAATCGGTGCGATAATCATATGTCAAAAGTGGAATTTATTTTTAAAAGTGGAATATAAACCAAAGATACTGTATGCTCATACGCCAATAAATGGAGACGACCGTCCTTCTTTACTTGAGCTACATTATTGTATAACTTTGTTCAAAATTTTCTACTTCGACGACATAATAAAGTTCTCTACTCCTTTCAAAAAAAAGTTCTCTACTAGTATTTGAGTATTTCAAATATGCGACTGGAAAGTGGAAACTATTTTGTGATGTATTCTAATTTCTAATTATAGGCAATTCAAACACTTGTTTGGTTAAGGTTCACACACGAATGATTGTCACATACTTCACATGTATCAATCAATGTAAAACTAATATTATTCCAATTTAACAAAAAAACTTATGCGACACTCTATTATACACTTTTACGAAATATAAGTCATATAAAAGTCATTTTTTTATTAATTGTTTTTTTTGTATTTCATGCCATTTTGCTTAGTAAGTAATTGATGTTTGAGGAGTATTTAATCTAATTGAAAATAGAAGTATTGTCTAAAACATATGTGCATTTATTTACGAATAATATCAAGTCTTTCACCACCTTTCTCGCAATAATAACAAGTGTTTCCGTGGAGAAACTAAAGTTGTAGTTACAATTTACACATAGTAAAACGTGAATTACAGCATTAGAATAAAAATTGTCCCTTTCGAAAGAAATAAAATGAGACATGCGTGTCAATCATTCGCATGAATATTGGAGATGGGTTTTGATTCGCAAGGATTTCAAGTTTTCAACCTCAAAACTTGGGTTTCTTTACCCTTGTCTCTATAATTATCCTGGTGTAGTTTTGATTTAAATGTTGAGTTAGCGGTATATTGGTATATATACATTATTGAATTGCTCAACGAACTAAAAAAATATTCATACTTTTAATAAGGATCATGTCAAATTTAATTTTTAAAAAATAGTTGTTCTAATACTACGTATGATTCAATTTTCACTTTGTTTTTCTGTTGAGAACAACAATTACTACGGTATACATAAAAGAGTCATAAATATAAAAAAACGGAATAGAAGACATGGGGATTCTAGTGAGAACTTTTACCCCTGGTGCAAATCCAATATTGAAGGTGTTGGAGTGAGAACCAGGAAACACCTCACGAGTTTATTAATAGAATATGCATTACAATGAGCAGAAAGGCTAAATCAAGGCCTACTAGAGAAAAATAAAAACTTGCAGAACCTAAAAAGGAAAGAAAACAAAGATTACAGAACTTTCCTACTAGTTTACTATGTAATTAAAATTGTTGGAGAGACCGACATCCATTGATAAGTCTTTGTTGTATTTGTGATGCAATTTGATCGCTCTTTGAATATATGGGGGATAAGTATTATTCTCTGGATGTGATTGGTGGTACCAAGCTAGCCCTTGCACCATTTTCTGAGGCGATTCGTACTTTTGTTCTTCGGGATAGATGAAGAACTCAAATTCTATTAGTTCGGCCTTTGATTTGCTCCTTGTTAGAATTCGTTGACTATATCTTCTATTGTATATGGGCGCTTGAATTAAGGTTAATTGTTGTGTGTGACTCAATTTTTTATTTTCCCTCAATATTACAGGGGTGAAACCATCTAAAGAGAATTTATTTGATCTCAGCTTATTGAATTGAGGTTAATTATTGTGAGAACTTATTTTAAAAGAGAAATGATTTTTTTAATCTCAAGTTTTATTTGATTCAATCATTAGTTTGGATATTCATGTTGCATATTTGGAATTATTATTGAAAACTAATTTCAAAAATGCCACCTTATTAGTTCTAACTTGATTGAAAATATGGAACGTGGAATCGAAAATTATCATTCTTAAATATGTTCTCATTTTCGGTTCTAACCTATGTTTAAGAAACCGGACCAGGAAGCGATCCGGTCGCGTGACTGGGTCACATGTCAACCCGGACTCGGTCGAGTCAACGCGGTCAACGCTATAAAACCTATCAACCATTTAACAATAATAAACATATAATTATATACAAAATTAAAATAAAAGGTAGTTATTTCATAATAATCAACTAATGATAATAATAATTACTAAACACTTGAAAAGTTAAAATAATCTCATAATATTCCAAAATACCATTTTCATCTTATTAAAATATATAATGATACTCCATATTTGTTATTTTTATTAGACATTTGTTCTATAATTTGACATGATTTTTATTCTTAAATAAATAAGTAGTATATAAATACATAGCATATTTTTTCTTTTAGGTATTGAAAATTGCAATTTTATTGGTTAAAAATGCTTTAATTTAAAAAAATGGAAAAACAACCAAAACTGGGTTTTTTCGGGTTTATTGGGTTTTTCGGGTCTGGGTTTTGCCGGGTCAGCCGGGTTTTTTCGATTTTGTAACCATTTCCGGGTTATTGGTTAACCGAATCGGGTTTTGGTCCGGGTCGCCGGGTTCCGGGTCGACCCAGCCGGGCCAGGTCGGGTTTTTAAACATTGGTTCTAAGTAAACTCTACACAACATATACAAGTATATGGTTATTATGAATAAATAATACTCGGTAATATATCAATAATGATAATTTGTTTTAGCAATGATGATAGCATAAGAAACAATGCTGAAACCATTCGAATCAAATGTTGTTACTAGTCTGGTTAGATTATTTTTTGCGAACTCTGTCTACCATTTATATGTTCCTAGAATAACAACACCAACATAAAACGCTCCATTAGTTATGGAAAGTATTACAACACCCTCCCGACATCTTCAGGAGTTTTGATTTTCAAAATGTGCAATCCCCAAAAGTTTCCGTGCATCACCTCCCCTATTCAAGAATATCATGCCCAATTGTCCTAACTTCATTTTTGGATTGTGAAAAAAAAACAGTGAAAAGACATATTGGGTAAGAAAATCATGGGTTAATGCCTTAAATGACAAAATAAAAAAAACGTCAGTTAAACAAAAGAAAATTTTTACAGAAATGGAAAATGACCCTACTCCATCCCAAAATGGCAACAACCAATGCTTGTTTGGAAGGGATAGTCATTTTCCTTTAAGAAATTCAGTTGTGTCAAAGTACAAATTAGCTTTCCCTTCCTATTCATAAATCCTTGAGAGGGAGGCAAAGTGAAGCACCACCAAACTAATAAGAGGCTGCCCTCATTTCTTTTAGCTCTTGTTTCTCTCATCTACCCATATCTCCAATTTCCTGAATTCTTCAAAAAGAAGCCACAAGCCTGCAGAAGAAGGTCATGCTTGCCTTTCAAAGCCTAATGTCTCTTTCAGTCAAACAATTGGTCCTTGTTCAGAATAGTGATGGTGGTAAAAACTGGAAGACATCACACATAGCTGATATGCTAAGCAAGTTTAGGTGATAGATAACGACCACACGGCACCCTTATCAGGGCCCTTCAAAAAGGACATTATTTGGCTAGCAAGACCGAGGCAAGGAGTCGGAATCTGGGTTCGGAGTAAAAATGCAGCTCCATATATCCCCAAGCCTGAGGCATGTAACAGTTCTTCCTACCAAAGGCGTAAAGGACTTCATCAAATTCAGAGTTGCCCCTAGACGATTCTCATACCGTGTTGTATTCTATTCCCTCCTGCTCTTCACTTTTCTGCTGCGGTTTGTCTTCATGTTGACTGCTGTAGACACCATTGACGGACAAAATAAATGTTCACTCATTGGTATGTTTCCCTTTTTTTTTACACTGGGTATGTTGCGCACTTGCGCTTAAATGGACACAATATATCTGTTCAGCTAAAAAGCTTAATTGATTTAAATTGTTCCTTTATGATGAAAGAATTGCCAAAACAATACATTTTTCAGTCTTGAATAATTAATACTCTCAAATTTTCTCCCCAATTTAACTTGTCACGCTTATTAAAATAGCGAAAACTGTATGGGTGTGGTTGCTGCAAAGAGATATGAACAATGTCAAACATATGATTTATTTCCCTAATAGAAGAAAATTTAGGGACGTTCAGAAAGAAATTGGGGAGGAATTATGTAAAGGAGGGAGAACATTATGTTTTCACTTTTCCATTTTTTACACTAGTCTCTTGCATAATAGAGTCGTAGCATTTAATGATATTACAAGTCTGCAATACGATGAGACATGAAACTTTAGCATAATGCAGGTTGCTTGGGAAGAAAAATTGCACCAAGTATTATAGGAGGGCAATTCGAATCAAAGGTATAACTACACATTCTCCTAAATGAACTTCGTTTTCATGAGAAGAAAAAATGATTTGAATGAAGATATAAGGTATATAGTTTTCTTTTAGCTGCCAGAAGTTATATATAGAGTGTTGGAGGAACCAGAAAATCAGACAGAGATACAGGAAGGGAATGAATTTCCTCAGACCCTCAAAGATTTAGTTGCAGAATTCAAAACTGAAAGACCAGATGCAAAGACCTTTGCAGTCAAGCTCAAAGCTATGGTATCAGGTTCTTCTAAATTTCCTCTGACGATTACATTTGATAGAAAACTAATATTGGTGGTTTAGCAACTTGTTTAAGCTTATGAAGTGCCGACACAGATTTTTATATATACTGAAACCCCTGGTGGTGATAATCTTAACCAGTAGGATTAAGATTCTAACATTAAATTTAGATAAACCCCTGGTGGTGATAATCTTAACCAGTAGGATTAAGATTCTAACATTAAATTTAGATAAATCCCTGGTGGTGACCATTGCAGTCAAGCTCAACTATTTTGTTTTATATACCTTAATCCAAACCAGTTGGATTCTGCAGCATTAAATTTAAGGTGTCAACTACGTAGTACTCCGTATTTATCTAAAATTAGTTATTCTATACTCGTACAAAAAAACCTTGTGCAAGGATGCATAGACAAAAGCATTACATGAAATGACCTTTCCATAAACAGTGATGAACGCGAGTACGCGACTTTGGGACTGATACCCAGAACAGGTCCAAACCAATTCTGGTTCCTCCAAACTAAGACAAAAACCCACCAGCAACCAAATCTAGTTCCAGTTCCAGACTTTAAGTTAATTTTTATATTTTCAAATACGCTAAAACTCCGGTAATGGACCCGGGTAAGGTTCCGGTTTCACCCTTAGCCAGAATTGGATCAGAACAGCACAGGTCCACCCCTACCATGACAACCTTCCAACAAAAGAATAATAAGATCATATTCCAAAATATCATCCTAATTGGTTACTCTCATTTGTTTGCAAAATGTAATGAAATGGCGCAATGGGTAGAGATATTGTAAAACTAAAAAGCAAATCATGGAATACTGTCAATAAGTTAAGTTTTCATCCTCAAACAAAAACCATTTGGGAAAAGGAGAAAATGAGAGTCATGAGACGAACTCTTAAAATTATGAATCTAGTTATGAAGTGTGTGTAGCCAGGACTCCAAATATTTTGAACTGGGGTGGGCCAAAAGAAAATCATTAAAATAAATCTTCACACGAAAATTTTACATTTGAAATACAATTTTTTTTACCAAACTATGGGTGGGATCCAGTTGGCCCTCCTACCTACAGACCTGGAGACTGGAAGTGGATAAAAACTTCAAATGTGAAATGCTTCTTTCAATGTAAATTATCTCATAACAAGAAGCTTACATTGTATTCAAACTAACAGATCAATTTCCTAGAGCAAAGGACAAGAACTGCGAAAGTCCAAGAGTACCTATATCGCCATGTGGCATCCAATAGCATCCCTAAACAGCTACACTGCCTTTCTCTAGAACTAGCAAATGAGCACTCAATTAATGCTAATGCTCGTCTCCAGTTGCCATCACCAGAACTTGTACCTGCCCTGGTAGATAACTCGTTCTTCCATTTCATTTTGGCCACTGATAATGTTCTTGCTGCCTCAGTTGTTGCTTCCTCGCTTGTCCAAAACTCATTGCACCCAGAAAAGGTGGTGTTTCACATAATCACAGAGAAGAAAACTTACTCCCAAATGCAAGCTTGGTTTTCCTTACACCCTTTGACACCGGCAATCCTTGAGGTTAAAGGCCTACACCATTTTGATTGGTTCACAAAGGGGAAAGTTCCGGTTTTGGAAGCAATGGAGAAAGACCAAAAAGCACGGTCCCAGTTCAGGGGAGGTTCTTCTTCCATTGTGGCAAACCAAACTGAAAACCCTAACATTATTGCGGCAAAGTTACAAGCACTCAGTCCTAAGTACAACTCGCTAATGAATCACATACGGATTCATTTGCCAGAGGTTGGTCTTCTAAATGATCTGTTCTAAAAGTGTTTTAAATATGTATCATGATATTAACATATGTGAATTAGCCTTGCAGTTGTTTCCTACTCTGAACAAGGTGGTCTTCCTCGATGATGATGTAGTGGTCCAAACTGATGTCTCGCCTTTGTGGGACATTAACTTGAATGGAAAGGTGAATGGAGCAGTGCAAACCTGCACAGGGAAGGATGAGTTTGTAATGTCTAAACGCTTCAAGAGTTATCTGAACTTTTCTCACCCTCTAATAGCAAACAACTTTGACCCTAACCAATGTGCATGGGCATACGGCATGAACATCTTCGATCTTGAGGCATGGAGAAGAACAAACATAAGTCAAACATACCATCACTGGCTAGAACAAGTAATTCACGAACTAAATTTATATGTAGGACTGGAGGTGTAGCCCAGTATGTTTGCTTTATATGTTGGTTTGTTATTTCATATTTAACCAATGTAGAATAAGCACTTCAACACCCCTCATGACCAGCCCAGGTGTCTAGATCAGGAAATTTTTTATTTTATTTATTAAAGCTTTTTCATAAAAGCACGTATCACAATCCAACACCTCATCTAGATTGTACATTTTTTTCATGGACCCACATCATTGTTACGAATTGGGTTGGCTCTAATACCACATTAAGACCTGATTCATCCTAAAAATAATAATCATAAGAATCATAGAAAGGTCTTATATGTTGATTTGTTATTTCATATTCAACTCATGTGGGACATACGCTTTAGCGGTAAACATTTGTATGGCAGACTAGTTTTCCTGATGTTGATGAGATTGCTAAATGCTGTACGGTGTACCTAACACCACAAGAGAGCCCCTCCTCCACAAGAGGTGTTGGAGGATGTAAATAAATTCAAGTTTAGAAAATAAATTTTGCCAACACAAATGTTTCTGTAGTACAAAGTAACATGTGTTTTAATGTCCCATACAGAACTTGAAGTCAGACCTGAGTTTGTGGCAACTAGGAACATTACCTCCTGGCCTAATTGCATTTCATGGCCATGTACATATCATTGATTCCTTCTGGCACATGTTAGGACTTGGCTATCAGGGTAATACAAGCCTTGAAGATGCTGCAAGTGCTGGTGTTATCCACTTCAATGGCAGGGCAAAACCTTGGCTAGACATTGCATTCCCACAACTTCGATCACTATGGAGCAAGTATGTCAACGTCTCAGATAAATTCATCAAAAAGTGTCACATAACAGCATCATGAGTTGTATTAAGGAAAGGGTGTCTTGATCTTCATCTTTCATAGAGGAGAAGAACTAATAGAAACTTTTCCAAAAGCAGAGGCATCAGCTCGTCATGTGATGAAAAGTACTGCCCAGGCTTACATGTCTTCAACTGGTCTTCACTACAAGCATATGTATTCTGATGCTCTCAATTGTGCATATATATGCATGATCGTATAAAGATTATGTTAGGATGTCTGATTTTTTCCCTCTTCTCTATCTTCATTGTAGAAATCCCAATTCAAATATTATCTTAACATGCAGAGTTAACATATGCGTGTGAATCATTTTCTGAGGAGTGAAACTTCCATAGTTCCACCCTAACTCAAGTTAATTGTAATCTATGCAAAACCAACAGTAACATGGATAGGCTACGAATCTTTATATTAGACTCCTCTCCATCCCAAAAAATGAATCCACATTGGAAAAAAAATATCCCAAAAATGAGTTACATTCCAAAAGAAGCTAATTTAATCAAATGCTTTGTCTTCTTTCAGATGATCACAACCAAATTAGTTGTTTTAAATTTGGTTAAATCAAGAAATTTAATAAAGAAAATAACTATGGATGATGATTTCTATGAGCTTTCTTACTAAAATTTAAAAGTGGTTCCATGGTGAAAGAAGACTCTTTTAGAGTATCACATTGTTCTTGTACACTCCCTTTTTGTATATTCATATTGCCAAAAGCAGGCTCTGTATTTGAGTTTAAGAGCCCTGACTATGGAGGATTCAATTGAGGTTCAACCTCTGTTCTATAAATCGCTAGGCACTAGTCATGCGGTTGAGGGGCATCTAGCGCCTAGGCACTGACTAAGGGCTGATTAAGCCGATTTTTTGGCCGACTAGGCTGATTAGTCCTCCACGGTTAAGGGCCGCTTAACACCTCCATTGATCGGACCGACAAGGCCGATTTTTAGAACAATGGGTTCAACTGGTTTCAGGATCATGAAACCCTGAAGGGGAGGGGGCTTAAAATGTTTCAATTTTGAAGCTTTCTCAAAATACACTAAAATTCTTCCAACATTTTTCAATCTATGCTACAAACTCACTCGTCCAAGTTTCATTCTTCCATTACAATTATTTTCAAAATAGATCTATTTTACTGTCTCCATCCCGGCTTAAGCTTCTCATTGAAAGATGTCACAATTATTTAGACAATAATTAAATAAGGAAATTTGAGTACATTTTGATAAATAGTTTTGATGGGCATAAAACATAATGAGATCATTGATGATAACTGTGATGTTATAGGTGTATTATTTTTAATATTTGATGATTAACTTGTCATTTAAAAGTGCCAATCATATCTTAAAATAGAGATGAGAAGCTTTAGTTGGGACGTCCAAAAGAGAAAAGAGGCAAGTGAGAAGCTTAAGCGGGGATGGAGGGAGGATATGTTTTTTGTATGGAATAAGGGAAAAGGAATTTGAATACCATCAAATATCCAATGCCATTCAAACCACTTAAAATCCTCACATTCTTTTTGTTCCCCAAGATGCATAATCGTTTTAACATTTGAATACTTTGCTACAAGCCAAAAAAGATTCCCTGATTTCTCAAGTAGTGCTAATACCTGAACTGAGTGAACTCCGATATTCATGTTTGCACCAAGTCAAATAATGTTGGAGGTTTTAAAAGTGAAATCAAATGACTTTAAAGGCTTTATTCTGAATGACAGTAGAAATTGGAGATTTAGTTTTATATAGTTATATAGTATCTTAAGTGTGTGGCAAGTGACCCTGCTTAAATGCCTCTTTTCTGGAAACTTACTGATAGAACCCTAGGGATTGTACCCCTGGGTATACCATAATTAGGTTTTGGATCATAGCACAGAGTCGGATATGTGAAGTTTGGGCTAGTCAGATGGAAAAAAAAAAAGATTCCAGGCAGACACAGAGCCTCTCTGGCCAAGGCCATTCATTACTTAATAGAGTATCATGGAGGCATGGAGGGTGGAAAAGTCTTCCCACCTTTAATATAGTTGCGATATACATAGTTATATACGTCTATATATACACCCAAAGTCTTTTTGAGGAGGTATGTTCAATCATTCAACTAAAACCACTTTCTCTCTCTACTCCATCGTCTACACACCAGTGACACTGGGAATCAGTTTCCTATGAATTTAATTGAAATGACAGTCACAAACTATGCATGAGCATAATTTATTTTTCTTTGGCTCATTTAAGGCAAAAGATAAAACATCAAAGATAACCATATGAAAGAACATATTCTAAGCAATGAATTAGACATTTCTTGCATCATAAAATAAAGAGATGCTTTAGACCGAAAAGATTAACAGATCTATCTAAACACAGTAGTGAGTAGTGACAGAGAGGGGTGGAGTGGGAGTAAGAGAAGCACCATAAATTGTTGAAAAATGTTGTTAACTTTTACCGGTAACTTTAGACACCAAAGCCTTCAAGAACTTTGCAGACTTTGTAAGTGGAGAATTCATGGCCATCAAATTGTACAAAACATTCTCAACTTCAATGATAGATGGTCTTGTTTTGAATGTAGAGACCAGCTTCAACTCTCCCTTTTCTTCAACTAACACATTCCATTGCTCCCCACTCAAGACCCCATCTCTCACACACTTAAAAATCACACCTTTTCTTTTGTTCAGTACCCCTCTAACCTCCAACCCCGTGAATGAGTACACTACTTCAAATGAACCCACGAATTCACGCAACTCTTCAAAGCCGTCCTCTTCTTCGAACCCCCATTTTGGATTGAAAATTACCACAGGCTTTGGATACACACTATCAGTGATCATCTTCATAAATTCAAGTTGTCGAACCTCTGGAGTCAAGAACACAATCAGATCAGCAGGACTCAAAATGCTGCTACTTTCTCCAGTAGCTACCGATAAAGTGTCAAGATTTTCAACAGTAGTGCTGTAAGAACGACTTGCAAAGGTACTGGCAGCCTCCTTAAAGCACTCATCCGGACAAAGAATCATAGTCTTAACTTTAGAGTCTTTCCTTTTAATGGGCATATTCGCGAACACATCAAGCGCGAGGTGTGAGAGTGAAGCCGGCGACTCATTGATCACCGGAATTTCGACTCGGAATCTAGGTTGCTTTAACTTCTTGATTCTCGCGGGGAGTTTGGGGTTGTTGAGAGGCTTCTCTAAAGTGCGGCAAAGAGAGGCCTTCGCCTGAGAAATGGCTTCTTCTTTGCTGCTGGGTGGGGTAGGTGAGGAGAGGGCACAATGGGGGTACCTTGATCTGCTTAAGGGCTTCGTTAAGGAAGCAGAGAAACGATGAAAGTGACGATAATGGCGTCCAGAGGGGAAGAACGATGGATGCTGAGCCTGGGTCGGCTTGAAATGAAAATTGGAGTTCGAAGTATTGATGGATAGTTGGTGGAAATTCACAAGATTCGTAGCCATAGGACAGTATTTAGAACAGTCCATTAAAGTCAGCCGTGAGCACAATCAGGTTACGAGTTGAAGAGAAGATAGCCCTCAGGGCTCAGACACTCTCCTCCAGCATCTCTTTGTAAAAAATAAAAAGCAATAATCCTAGTTTATACGAAGTATTTTATATAAAAAAAAATAGTTTTTTTCTAATTTATATTTTACTATTATTTTTACTCGTGCCGTGCACGGGATAAAATGATTTTTTTAGTTTTAATATATAGTCTTGAATATGGATTATACGCATATTGACATATGTATATGGGTTAATATATAATAACTAATGGAAAATCGTGTATCTAGTCGATTATAATATCGGTTGATAACACATATTTTTATTTGTTGAACGACTTATTTCTGAACTGATTATCTAAACATATCATAGTAGTGTATGTCCATCAAAATGATAATGTAGGTATTGAATCCTTAGTATAATGTGAATGAGAAAAAATATACTACGTAGTATTATGAAACAAATGAACTCTTGCATAGTAGCATGAATCATTGAAACCAGGAGATACAATATTATAAAATTACGTGCGATTTTGAATGAGAACATCATATTGTATGGGGAAAAGTAGCAAATCAGCCCTCGAACTAACATCAAAAGTGAAAATCACCCCTTATATAGGAGACTCTATCCGTACGTCGTCATTTGGGGTGGTTTCCGGTGGATATTTTTATGAAAGTTTTTGAGCATCTTCTTCATTAAGTCTAGTTTACCCATACCAAATTTTAGCTAAAAATTCAGCCGGGAAGGCAGTCAAATGATTTTCTGAAATTCACAGAATACATAACTTTTGATTTCATGCACTTAGTTGTGTAATAATAAGAAAAATTAAAATTGAAGTTATTTTTATGACCATATGGCTGAAGTTATTGTAGACACTCATTCTAGATATTATTCATATTTTTTTTATATTTTATTAATAAAAAATATTTTAATTTGTTTCTTTATAAAAAAATTATAAAGCATATAGATCATTCTAATGACATAATATCTAGCAGAATTGACAATCATTATTGTAGACCTAAAACTAAAGTTCTCAACAAAAAATGAAACACCGTAAACAAACAAAACACGAATATAAGACCATAAAAATAGAATAACTGACAAATACTTCAAACTTCTTTCTGACTGTTTTCTTGAAATTTCATCTTCCGAACCCCGACATCTCGATCAACCTAAGGCGGCGGTTCAGGAAGGGGGACGGACCGCCAATTTGTATTCTCCCTTGCTCAACCCTTCGTTGCTCCCCGTCTATTCATCACCAGTGCCGAGGGTCGGAACCAAATCTGTCAACCCTTGATCCGTGGCTAGATTGTCAATACCCCCGATTGCCATCTTCTTATACTGGTCCACGATGTTTTCCATACAAAACTTGCTTTCCTTGGACAGCTAAATCGAATTCGCCCGCTGCAAAACTCTCCTCCGTTCGTTGTTTCGTCTCCTCGAATCTCCTGTCAAACACACCACGAAGCTGCCGGTCCAAACCAGAAACTCTTCAATTCACCTGCCTCTCTCGTCGCCTCGCCTTCCGAATCTTTAATGCCGAAAATAAAATAGATGGCCGGAAATTCAGCCCCGCTCCTCAGCGTAAGCCGATATATAGCGGACTATCGAAGCTAGCAATTGGCCTTAGCTTGCGGCAACCCTAGGGAGAGAGATATTACCCTCCACAAAAGTAGGTACCCAGTTTAATTGTGACTTTACATTATACGTACTATTATATATGGAGTTTTAAATCTTAGGAAGCACTCCATTAAAAATGTTTGGAGTATAAAGTTTAATGGATAAAAAGAGGCATACAATTATGGAAAGTTTTGTCATGTGTCATCTTCTAAGCAAACATTGATTGTAATATTCTAATTTTTTTTCAATTTTGTACTCCGTATATTTAGTAATTAATTATGGTGCGTTAGAATAGGATCTAAGTTAAATTAGAATCGTTATTGGTACGTTAAGTTATTAAGATTAAGCAAATATGTTGGAATTCTACGCAAGTAGCAAACAACTCAGAACATCTTCATTCATGATCTCTAATAATCAATTTTTCTATAATTCTTATCATTTAAATATTGTTATGTAATTAATTTTAAAATAATCTCAAAATTCGATTATATCTCTCAATCATCATCTTCAAATAATCTGGTTTTTTTCTCTGTAATGCATTAACCTCTATTACATATACTTTTTAAATAATCTTAAAATAATCTAGATTCATATTTTGATCCCAGATTATTGTAGTAAATAATCCCATTAAACAATATATGTCACTCAATGATAATTTTCTAAAAAAACTGACATATCACCAATTCAATCTCATAATAATCCTTCCAATGAGGATGCCATCAGAAATCATTTCAATGGACCCCGATTTGAAAATCTATATTTTTTAAATTGATATAACTTTTCATTTGAAATTTAATTTTTATAAAAAATATATCATAATTCATGATTTTTTATTATCTTTCATATGACACCAATATTGAATATGTAAGAAAAAAGAATTTTGAATGTACAATAGACGGAGGTTTTTAGGCTCAAAACTTTTTCAAATAGATTCAAACTTTAAAATTAGGATCTCATGATTGTATAGCATAATTTCATAAGGGACATCTTATGTATAGACATTTTATTTACAGAATTTTATCGATCCAAGTCCCGAAAGATAGACGAATCACCGGACTTGAAAGATGAAATATATCGGTATAAGACGCGAATGATGGAAAACTATCAATTTAGGACCCAAATGATAAAAACTATCAATATAGGATCTAAATTGTTATGATTTGTTTTTTATTTTAAAAAATTGAAATAGTATTTAGTTTTATTAAATTAATAAACTTATGTGGGAAAAAATCATCAAATATTAGCAATGGAATTAATAAAAATTAAATGAATCAAAATCTATGAAATGTTAGGTCATAGATTGATAGTTTTTCATCATTCGGGACCTGTACTGATACACTTCATCTTTTAGGTCCCGAATTGATAATTATTTATCAAGTCCCGGATTGATAAAATAGTGGAATTGTTTTTTTAGAACGTGCACTTTGAGTGTAATTGTGGAGTTTATATGTTTGAGTGCAATTGAGCCCGTTTGGTATCTCTGTTTTTTGGCTTATCAGGCTATCAGTCAACGTTTTCACAAAATACATAACTTTTGATTTCGTGCATTAAATTGTGTAATAATAAGAAAATTTAAGATTGAAGTTATTTTTATGGCTGTATTGGCTGAATTTTAAGACATTTATTTATTTATAGAATTTTATTGATCCGAGTCCCGAAAGATAGACGAATCACCGGACTTGAAAGATGAAATATATCGGTATAGGACGCGAATGATGGAAAACTATCAATTTAGGACCCGAATGATAAAAACTATCAATATAGGATCTAAATTGTTATGATTTGTTTTTTATTTTAAAAAATTGAGATAGTATATAGTTTTATTAAATTAATGAACTTATGTGGGAAAAAATCATCAAATATTAGCAATGGAATTAATAAAAATTAAATGAATCAAAACCTATGAAATGTTAGGTCATAGATTGATAGTTTTTCATCATTCGGGACCTGTACTGATACACTTCATCTTTTAGGTCCCGAATTGATAATTATCTATCAAGTCCCGGATTGATAAAAATAGTGGAATTGTTTTTTTAGAACGTGCACTTTGAGTGCAATTGTGGAGTTTATAAGTTTGAGTGCAATTGGGATGTTATGGAGAAATCTTCCCAATTGCAATTGAGCCCGTTTGGTATCTCTGTTTTTTGGCTTATCAGACTATCAGTCAACTTTTTCACAAAATACATAACTTTTGATTTCGTGCATTAAATTGTGTAATAATAAGAAAATTTAAGATTGAAGTTGTTTTTATGGCTGTATTGGCTAAAGTTACTGTAGATAATCATTTTTAGATATTATTCATTTTTTTCAATAATAAATTTGTTTTTAATTTTTTTCTATATAAATAAGCAAAATCAGTCAATTTAGCCACTTCAGTCAAAACTTCATAAAATTCAGTAGAATCAGCCGATTCAACCAATTTCGTGTTACCAAACATACTCTAAATGAATAAATATAATTGCACGTTATTTAAAGTCACTAAACAAAAAATATTCTTAATTTCATATGAAAAAGTTTGATCTGAGTGCTATTTATATTAAAAGTAAAATGTTGGTTTATAGATTTGTTTATAATGTTTTTAAGAGACAATCAAGGAATCTCGTTAATGTTTTTAAGTTCTTGGATATTTAGAAATCAGAAAGCCATCTTTTCTTATCTAACGAAAGCCATCTCTTAAAATTGTGATTTTTTTAGAAATTCCAACGTTGTTGAATTCTAATTCTAATCCAACACCATGCTTAGTTCGAGTTTTTAGCAATTCAGATTTTAATCCACGAAAGAGTTTTAGGGAGGTTTTAATGACTTCTAAATTTTAGAAGATATTTTTAAATTAGAAAGGGAATTTAGAATATTATTATTAAAGAATTGCTTAGAATATGACATGTGGCAAAACTTTCTATAATTGTATCTCTCAAATGTATTATCTATAGATGTATCATGAAAAAGCAACTTCGTATGATATATGGAGTATAAATTCAGCAAAATAGTTTCTTATGATTTAAAAAGAATGTTAAAACTCTTTGTATTATAATTATTTATGTGCAAAACTTCCTCTAATAACAAATTTTACAATTATATAAAGAATAATATTTATTTTCCATTTATTGAGCAATAAAATTTATTCATATAGGGGACTTTGCCGTGAATAAGTACAACATATGGAGGTTTGACACGTTTTTTAAATCACAAAGGCCGATGGAGTGAATTTATATTTTACACGATGGTTTGGTGCATTAAAATATTAAAGCACCATAAGTTTTCTTCTTAAAAAAGCACATAAGTTTTAAATTTTACAAGATTTGTTTTCTGTGCGGAGAAATTTTTTATATGCTTTTCATTCAATGTAGGAATTGCAAATTCTAGCGTGCAAATCGAAGTTTGTATGCAGATGATAATTATTTGTACACGGACAATAGTTGTGTGGATGACTGAATAATAAATTTTTCAAATATATTATATCCCATAAAGGGCTACACTTTTTTTGTATCAAAGATTTAAAGGCTATTTATGTCAATAAATTCTATTTGTACACATAATTTGTACACACTTGGCACACTTTCTTGGGTACACCGGCATCTCGTTTATAAAAAAACAGAAATTGTCCGTGTACACGAACGAATGTAAAATATACACAAAATGTGTACACCTACTAGTTATTTGTGTACCCAGGCAATTCGTTTAAAAAAAGACAACAATTGTTCGTGTACACGGAAAAGTGTGTCAAGTGTATACAGATTATGTCTACACAAAAAATGGTTGATTTATATCTCTCAATCTAGGCATGGAGCCGGACCGGGTCGGGCCCGGTCAGGCCTTTTGTGGTTGGGGGAAGGCCCGGGACCGGCCCGGGTTGCCACCGGGTCTGGTTCGGGCTGGGCCGGGCCTCGGACCGGGTTGTAATTTTTTTTCCTTTCCTAACTACCCCCCACCCCCACAAACCCCCCAACCCCCCCCCCCCCCCCCCAAAAAAAAAAAATTAAGCCCAACCCGGGGAAACCCAAAAAAACTGAAAAAACAAAAAATAACAATTTTGGCCCGAACCGGGTCCCCATTTCTGCAGCCCGAGCCCGCCCCCGCTTAAGCCTTTAAACCGGGTCAAGGACCGGTTTCGGACCCGAAGCACCGGGTCGGGCCGGGCTGGTTCCCGGGTTGGGTGGCCCGAACCGGGTCCATGCCTATCTCAATCTAATACCTCTCTTTTTTATCCAAGCTAAGTAGTCTTATTTTTGTCCAATCAAAATTTGGAAGTATTATTTTTGATAATTTTTACTTTAACTTATTTCAATATTAAATCTAATTAGAGCAAATCATACTTGACCAGATGTAAAAAGGCTAGAACAGATAAAACTAATTAGGTCAAACTAATTAGGACAGACATAGATAATACTCATAATACTATAATAGTAGAAATGTAAAACACACTATTGAACCAGACCATTTTTAAACAGATTATTTAGACCAAACTAGTTCAACCTAGTGCTGGACTCGGGCCGGGCGGCCCGGCCCGGAACCGGCCCGGCCCGGTTACTGTTAGGCCCGGCCCGGCCCGGGGCCCGGTGGGTCCACCGGTTCGGTTCGGCCCTGCCCGGCTGCTGGGCGGTTCGGGCCCGGGCCCAGGTTTTGGCGAACCGGCCCGGCCGGTTCGGGCCCGGTCCGGGCCGGATTTTAATTTTTTTTTTTTTTTTTTTTGAAATTTTTTTAAGTTTTAGGTTGGATTAGGTATTTTGGGCCATTTGAGGTGGTTTGGGATGGTTTGGGGTTGAGGGGGAGGGGTAGGGGATTAAATAGGAGACCAAAAAAAAAAAAAAATTAAGTGGGCCGGTTCGGCCCGGCCCGGCCCGGCCCGGTTTGGCCCGGAACCGGAACCGGAACCGCCCACCGGCGGTTCGGGCCCGGGCCCTAGTTTTCTGGCCCGAGGCCCGGCCGGGCCCAGGCCCGAACCGGGCCCGAACCGGCCCGAGTCCAGCCATAGTTCAACCAAACCTTAAAATTTCAATGCATCACATGCACATATCCTTATGCTCCGTATTCTTTTTACACATTTCGCCACGACTTGTGTATTGTATTTTTTTTAATATAATGTTGCAGCGTTTCGTGTTACATACTTACATATGCTATTTAGATTTTAGAGTACTCCTCGTCTTATTAATTAATCTCTGCACTTAAAAATATGACAAAGTCTGACAAATCATTCACTTGAAACCAACAAAATGAAAAGAAACAACACACAAAATAATAAATCACGACCATTAACATCTCAAATACAGGTTAAATTGTTTACATTTACAAATAAAACCAGCATCCAGTCCGTGGTGTGAAATATCACATTCTTACATTTTCAGGGAAGATGGAAGAATCGTATGGCATTCATCAAACAAAGTTAAGAACTGAAACCTAAATGTTACGGAGTACAATGAAACTGAGCAGTTATAAATTCATTGGAAAATTAAAGCACCAGGTAAACCCAACTTTATCAGTGATAGCTACAGTGTTTAAGCCATTGGAGATCGGAAAACATGGTCCTGAGAGGTGTCAGGCAAGAACTGCCACATTGCTACCCCTGGATAGCCGCTGATGACAGGCACCAAATTAGCTCCAGTTGCATGACCATGAACGGCAAACGCAGCAGCAGCTGGTATGGCAGGAGATATGAAACCAGGTTGTGCATTCATGGTCTTCAGTTGCTGCTCTAACTTCTCTTTCTCGGCCTTCAGCCTCTGCTTTTCTTCTCTAAGTTCATTTTTCTCGGACTACACAATTTAAGACATAAAGATTAAATGAAAGTCTAAATTAGACCTGACTCACCCTAAAGGGTTTTAAGAAGTAATGATAGAATTCAGGATGGAGTTAGGCTCGCTCAGCGGGTCCATCTACCCTAAAAGATAAAATCGAAATCACCCTAAATGATTAAATCTAAATTGTTAACTAGTTCAATAATACAAGATCTTATTATGCATCATTTTCACTTTACTTTTTTGATGTGGGACCAACACTCCCTCATATGGACATCCAGGTTATGTTGAATCTAACTGATGAGTCAATTGTAGTCGTCTCTCATGAAACTGAACCTCGAGATGCAGGGGGTAACACTTAATTGACAAGGGCTGGAAACCTGGAATAAATGAGTCACAGGTCGCTGAGGCTGAACTTCTAGATGGAAACAACATTAAAGACTCATGGGCCGCTTAGATGGACATTCAAATGGAAAACCTGACAAAGTAAACCAAAATCTGCTCTGATACAATTATAGAATTTAGGATGGGGTTAGAGTCACTCAACTGGGTCATAAAGCATTTGAGCCATAGTTTTCAAATCTTTTAGCAAGTTCAACACAAGGTGTGGACTCTAACGTACTTGATGTAGAACCTTAGATGCCCTTCACTCAAACTTGGCTGGACCGCTGGATGACTCGAGGGGTTGATAAATGAGTCAAAATGACCCAGACAAAACTCCAAACCATGGGTGCAAACAAAAAAAGGAATCACAACTGGACGAGATTCTAATACCATATTAAATTGAATCAAACTGACCCCAAAAGAATCATAGAAAAGTGATGTATAACACACATTTATATAATATGTATAGATCTAGTAAACATCCGATGCCAGACTTAACATAATGGTATATATTATATAATTAATAGAAGTGTGACAATATTGCAAACAATAAACAGATTCTCACCTTCAACTCCTTAATTGTTTCTTGCAGATTCAAATTGGAGTCCTTTAGCTTCTTAGCTTCATCACGTAGCTGTGTCACCACACGCACAGCATCAACTAGGATAGCAGATTTGTCTGTTTTAGGAGGCCTGCCTGGATCAAGGAGTGCAGCCAATTCCATAAACCTACATCAAGTTCACTTTCCTATATTAGTGATGAAGAAAGTTGGAGATGGAACTAAACGTCTAAAAGAATGAACAGTGAGCAGACTTTTCATTTAGCCTATCCCTCCTCAACTTCTCCCTGCATGCTTTGGAACTTGATGAGCCACAACTTTCAGCTCTTGGCCTGTAAACAATATAAAATTGTGAGGAAAGCTCACTGGGTCTGGCTGTACCGACAAATAGCTAAAGTTATCTAGTAATCAATGTTCTAAAACGAAAGAACCACCAGGATTTTCTCAAGGCCGAATGCCTAGGTGCCAATTAGGGGATAAAAATAAAAATAACTATGATGAGATGGCTGCCAGTTGGTTGCCTTCTTTCAGAAATTGTTAAGCAATCTTGGTCCTCTAATCCTCTTGTTCTATTTATAACACGAAAGAACACAAATATGGCCTAACAGTACCAATGTGGGACAAGTACCCATTCATGGTCTTCAGCATTAAATGATTTCCTCTAACTTTACTTGTGGCAAGTTGGTTGCAATAACATGCTAGCAACGAACATGAATTGGTACAAAATATAATATGTGTGTCCTATAACTCCTATTTTATCTGCACCATTCATGCACCGTCACAGTATCACACCGAGTCAAGACTCAAATTATTTTCTAATCATTTTTTTGAATAATTAATATGAGTAGACAAATTTCTGTATTTAAAAACATCGACAGTAATTTGACAATTTTGACCGCTAATCTGATAAAATATAAAAGAATATTAACCCAAATAAGCAAAACTTGATTATGTTACTTATGTTGTTTGACTAATAGATAGTAACTACAATGCTTGAGGATGATGTGGCAACAATTATCTATTGATGAGATTGATAGCGATTGGACCAGTTCATCCAGTTGATATCTCAACATTATTAAATGCTTAAAATTATCTATGCGATCATAACATGGAAGAGTTTTTCCATGATTTCCATTGGAGCCAAAAACTTACTATTTTTTGGCTTGGGAATATGATGGAATAAAGCAAAATGGCTCACTAAATTGTCTGCACTTCTTTGTTATCAAGCAACAGTCAGTCCATGCAATTTTCGACATGATTTTCATCATGGGTCATCTGGAAACAGTCTATCAGTGCTTTAGTACAGGGTAAAGTTGCGTACATCTAACCCCCTTACCTGCTGTGGGTGGGAGCCTTTGTGGCACAGGGGTAATGTTGTTGTTGATCATAACATGGAGAGCAGTAAGTAAAAATATACAAAATTCATGATATATAAGACAAAGTATTACTCCCTCTGTCTCCCTAATATTGGGACGGAAGAAAGTGGTGTGGTTTTTAAGAAAAGTAGAATTATGTGGTTGATAATGAGTTGGTAAAGGGAGAATAAAGTAAGAATGAATTAGAACCACACAAATGTTACCAAATATGGCATGGGACTATAATAGGGGGACATCCAAAAATGGAAAAATGGAACAATTATAGGGGGACGGAGGGGAGTAACAAATTATAGATTTTCTAGGCTATGCTAAATCCCCGCCTAGGGCCTTTTAGAACATTGAACCTAACACTTAACCTATGTCAACACAAGGGTATGGTGATGTCTGTCCTGTGATAATATGATTCTTGTAAACACTTGATAGATACACCTGTTCTGACAGGCTCTTTCATGGTTTGATCTAATGTAGCAGTCAACAGTTTGTTGTGGACTTGTGGTTAATTACAATACATCCACATAGAAGATACCATAGTTTTACCGTTTTTTGGAGCCAGTTTCGTTTGGGCCATCAGAATCCCCAAATGATCCATCAAGTTCAGCACTAGCAAGTTCGAGATCCCATTGTGAAAAAACAAGAGAATGGAAAAAATAAACATTAGAATAAAAGCAATGTCATGTGAGAGTGAAATAACTGAAATGGGCAAATTTATAATGACAACTATCGGAGAAGAATGCGTTCACTGTTCTAAAAAATCTCTGCATAACTCTGCCTAGGCACTAGACCTCCCTTGCCCGCCTCTAATAATTTTTCATTTCGGACCCACCTAGGCCGTAACTAAGCCTTGCTTAAGCCCAACTAGGCACTAGCCCCTGTCTACCGCCTAGGGTTTTCTAGATTAGTGGACAGTGGTACACACACATACATACATTTATGATGTATCAGAAACCTCCATCTGGCAACTTAAAAATTCCACTACCCCTATAAAAATGCAAAATTACCCTTGAAGGGGTGGGTATGGTAATGGGGATGAATAAAGGAATAAAGGGTCGCCATAAGGGTATGATAAGGTGGTATACTAGGATGGATACTTAGAAAGAGCACATTTTGGTATTTCTAATGAGGTAGTGGGTATGCTGCGGAGTCTGATGGCGGGGTTGGGGCAGCTCTATATACACACTTAATAATATGCTAAGAGTGACTAATTAAGAAGGATCATGCAAGGTTGACATTCCCTTCTTTTTGTTACAACAGAAAATGCAAGGTTGCCTGCCTTCTAGAACCATAGAACCGCGCAAAAAGAATTCTAATGTAAGGATTTTTTGCATTGGTCATATGTAATACTCCGTAAGAATTAGCTACCAACAAAACAAAATGGTCCACTAGAATAATACTACATTGTAAACTTGTGCTTTTACCACTGTAGGGAGCATATTAGATAAAGAAATTGCTCAGAATAAGAGTAAAGCATTGACAAAGTTCAAATATGTGACTGTAGATTTAATTCCAAATAAGAAATTTTTAGGTCTTAGTAATTAAATAAAACAATAAAAACTTTTCAATTTAAGAGTGAATGAGTACTATTTTGGAAAACAATGGTACTTCTATTTGATGAAATGTATTATATTTTACTTCTATTTAGTTAATGTTCTCTATTAGATAATTATATAGTGTATTCAGTGACATTATATTTTCTAAGTATGTACTCATGCCATTATACATCGTTACTTTTCCGTTTGCATAAAACCTTTGGACTTTGGTGCAGTAACATGAAAAGTTACCATTTATCTATTTTTTTAATAATTATCATAAAGAAGATTCAACTAATACTTCACAAAATAAGTTTTATTCCATGCAATCTAAATTTTACGCACAGGTGAACTACTAGTTATAATCTAAATAGATGCTTTCATTTCTTCAAAAGAATATATGTTTACTAAGTCTAAAGCTTTGGTATGAGTGTATGATGGCATCAGGAGAGACTTAGTTTGCTGAGCTTACAACTTCAAGGTCTAGGCACTTAATTAGGCTGTAACTTTACCCGTGAATTAATTGACTTTTGTATACCTAATTATTAAATAACATCATATATATACAATTAAGTACTTGACATGGTTTATCTGAATTTTAAATTTCTCATGGAGGATAACTGGATGCTTGGACCTGGTCTGTGCAATTGTGCATCCTAAATTATAAATTAGCAAATAAATCACTTATGTTCCGGGCATGAGCTGAACCTAGCATATATTTAGATATTTTTATTAAAGTATAGAGCTTTGGTATGACTTATTAGTGTACAAAAGCCAAACAAATCACCAATCAAATGTCATGTCATTTAGCTTGAATGCAGCCAATTCATGAATTCTATATCTTATCTTATCTAAACCCCGCTGATCAAGCTAAAGAGCCTCCTGCTTCCATAATAATAACCAATGGTAGTTTCAAATAATAAACACCAGTGGAGACTTGCAAGAAAACATAAAAAATATATAAAAAAAAACAGACTTTGCATCGGTTGATGACACTAGTCATGATATCATCTGAAAGGGCATCAAAAACACCTATGTAAACACAAAAATCCAAACTTTTTCTATATCCATTTTACAAGAAAATAAACGCTCGCGGGACTGAATTATCATTCGAGGCGAAAACTAAGCTACCTGGCAGTAGAGTCATTCAAGGGAGGCACGGGCAAGCAGAAACCAGTTCCCAAACCCGAGAAATTTGCATCAGGGATCGGGATATCTTCGACCCCGTAATCGTAAAGCCAATCGGTATTTTCCGGCGAAACCATTTCACCACAGGATAAAAATGAGGAAAACCGATTGGGGTTTGGGAGGACAATGGAGAGGATAGTTGCTTCTGAAGTTCGGAATTTGTGATTACATCTGGCGGATCATATTTGATAGTTTAGTGTGTCTGATTCGGGAAATATAGACAAGTGCCATGTGGTTTGTAAGATTGGAGTATTGATAACTGCGAAGTTAAAATTATTTGACTGTCTCCAGATTGAATTTTTAGCTGAAATTTTGTATGGGTAAACTAGACTTCATGAAGAAGATGTTCAAAAAAATTCTTCAAAAAATTCCACCGGGAACCGCTCCAATTGGCGACGGCCGGGCAGAACCTCTTATATAAGGGGCTAATTGAACACTTTAAATCAGTTCAAGGGCCTATTTGACCCTTTAGCCTTTCTTTTTTTGAATGTAAAATTCTACTACCTCCGTCCCGGTAGACTTTGCCAAGTGCAAGTTATGTGAGAAATAAGAATAGTAAAAACTGTGTGGTTGAAATTTGAGCAGAGGAGAAAAAAATGTGCAGAACCACAAATTAGTTGTTTTAATAGGAAAGTGGCAAAGTCCAATGGGAAATTTTTTGGAACAAGTAAAAAAGGAAATTTGGCAAAGTCCAATGGGACGGAGGGAGTATTTATTATATGCATAAAAGCATAAAATCTTCGCTAATACAATTTCTCCTCTCCATATATCTTGATTTTAAATTTTCATCTCTTTGACAATTTAGAGCTCAACACCTTACAAATGATTTATCATGTATGATATATCGAATATTTTCTCTCATACTTTTGCCGTATCAAAACTTTCAGCATACAAAAAGTTTTATATTGTTACCTTAACGAAGCTTCGGTATGCCGCATTTCGGTATACCGAAGTTTCGGTACGGTAACGGTACGGTATCGATAAATTATCATGGCCTAATAAAATACACTAAATCGGTGTTTCAAATAATAATCTATTTCAAAATACAATTCATAATAATCTATTGATGTCATATTCAATATTGAACAATGATTATTTTTAGAAGTAGTTCAACATGCCACGTATTAAAAAGTAATGCATTCTCCTAAAATAACTTGAATAATATAGATATAATTTTATCAATAGTGATCTCTAACAAAAATAAATAAGTTTTTCAAACAATATGGATATAAAATCATTTATTCTTAATATGATTGTGTATTTAGTCACTTCATTATTTTAAAATAATAAGACTTTCGGACAAAGTTGTATGTTTTGACTCGCGGAATCCCAATGTAGATACACTCGTCACACTCGTCAGCGGCTCAGCCATCGCGACTCGCAAGCTCTTGGGACAAGATGGACTTGTTTCTAGACATTAGTACATTACTCATTAGTCATTAGTGGTATGATAGAAGTCTAGAAGGTTATAGTGGGTTTGGAAAATTGGGTCTTTATTTTTGTATTTTGATATTTGCAACCAAACTAAGTGTTAAGTTTAGACTTCAAAATTGTAATGGACTTTTACAATATTTTAGAATTTAAAGTAATTTTTGGGTAGGGAGTCGGTACGGTATTATACCGGTATACCGCGGTATTTGAAAACATTTACCGTTACCGTACCGAAATAAATTGTTGGTATGGCATGATACCGTACTGAAAATGACAGTATACCAATATTCCGGTATTTTTCGGTATAGTAAGTATGGTATGTTGATTTTTCGGTATTTTTGTCTAGCCCTAGTATGATGTATCTAAATAATTAGTCGTCATCTCCATGTTACATCCATTTTCTACTTTTATATGATATCCAACAAGTTATAATGTAGAACCATTATTACACTTCTAAAATTATCTACTATGATGATGAAAGTTATGTCGTGTAACACGCGAATGAAATAACTAGTCAGTAACTATTACTCCTTTCATCCTGAAATTAACTTTTCGATTTTACTTCACGGGTTTTTGAGTAAGAAAAATTTAAAAGTTTACTTTCCAAAATTATCTTTATGTAAAGAAAGTAGTCCAAATAGTGTAAATGAGGTAAATGCATTTGATCAAAATAGGGGCAAATGAGTACTTTTGTATGTTTATCAAAGTAAGATAAATGTTTTTTAATCTTTGTTTGTCTTTCTGTTTTTGTTTACTTTTTGTACTCTCGTTTACTATGTCTTTAATTAAAAAAAATGTGTTAGCTATGAAAAAAATGAGTATTTTTAAGGCAAATGTTTACTTAAAGTAGAAATAAAATAATGTATGAAGTTAATTTTGAGGCATTCCAAGTAGGAAAGTTAAAGTTAATTTTGGGAAGAAGAAAATATTAATTAAATCGTGGCCCACATGCATATCACCAATAATCGGCTCTATCACCAATAATCGGCTCAAACTATGATTTGTCCATTCCATAGTTAATGCTTTGAAGTTTGAATGACCTATAGAGCATCTGACTTGGCATCAATAGAATCCCATCAACTTCTATCAATCTAAGAGTCCATTTGATAGTTTACACATTAAAACTTTACATGCAAAGTGATTGCATGTAAAGTTCAGGACCGTAAAATAGTTCGCGTGTAAACTTTACACGCAAATTCTTTACATTGTTTGTTGTCAAATAAGTTTTTCATATAAAATATTCACAAAATAACTACGTACATGGCTCCGATTAACCAAATTAAACAGCGTCGAAGAACTTATATAGCATAAAATGGCGTGCAACCTTTATTTTTGAGAAATAAAAAATATTCTCAAACTTTATTAAATACAAATATTCTGAGAAGCTAACCTCCAGGAGAAGTGGAACGTGCTATGCAGACTAAAGCTATAGGAGAAAAAACTAGTTTTAGCCGTCAAGATTTTTCCTTTGTTGCGTAACTGCAGTACGTCTTCTACAGGCAGCGTTGGTTTACACTTTACAGTTTACACTCTATTAAACGGTGTGAAATAGTATACTAGCCTCCCCATGTAAAATATTTTACATGGTACAGTGTAAAATGTTTTTTTTTTTAAAATGTCCTACAGTTTACATCAAATAATCAAAACAAACGATGTAAAATGTTTCCTTCCCTGCACTTCGGCACTTCGCATGCAAAGTGTTTATTTTACATCGTACCAAACAGGCCTTAATGGTCAGAACATCTCCAATGTTAATACATTAACGGTGCATACGTAGTATAAGAGATAGTCAATCAAAAAATAATAAATAAAATATCTTTCTCTTTATTTCAAGGATCTTATATATCATTAATGATAAAAAAGGATCTTATATCATTTTGGTAACTTTTTCTTCACAATGTCAAGCACAATGTGTAGATGTAGACATTGTGGTTGACATTGCAGGGAAAAACTTACCAAAAACACATAAGACCGTGGAAAGACGGAGAGAGAAATGTCAAAAAATTAATCTTTTGTGTCTATCTCTCTCATGTCACATGTACACCGTGCACATTGTAGCATTGGAGATACTCTCATCAATAACGAAAAAAAGATGACCCCATTTGTGATAAATATATAGTAATAATTAACATTTATGCTATTCATTAATGTTGCAATTAAGGATGGACTAATCAGGGGCAACCATGTATGTGTGAAGACCTAGAGGTGAAAAATTAAAATGAGTCTAATGTTACAAAAAATATTACAAAAAATTGTAGAGCCATTTTCTATCTTAATGCATAATAATAATAATAATATTTCAAGGCATTTATAAAAAATGGTAAAACCTGGCCTATTATGTCTATACAAAGAGAATATTACCCGGAATAGGACTAAAAAGGTTTGAAAATTCCAAAATAAGACTGTCATGTTTTAACTGCCAAAATAGGACTAATTACTATCATATTTTGGCAGTACCGGGCTTCAAACATGACAATATTTTTCAAACTTGACGGTAATTACTCCTATTTTGGAAATAAAAAACATGGCAATCCTATTTTGGAATTTTCAAACTGTTTTAATCCTATTTCGGAAACTTTCCCCTAAACAAATCATATTGTATTAATAATTCTTATTTAGGAAGGAAACAATGGTTATCCTATTTCTACTCTTTAACAATGTTTAAGTCATATTTAAGGAATTAACTCTATTATTATCAACTCCTAAATTTCCCTTCCAATGATGTAATCATTTTGAATCATTTCATTTTCGGTAGCTAAATTATTTTTCTTCTACGAGTTCTCGTCTTGAAGATGACATTCTGAATTTGACTTTTTCACACAAACAAACTTTTACGTTGAACTTGTTTTACTTAGCGTCGTGTTTTCTAATTTTCTCCTATGTTTTTATTTATCCTATTCAGATTCAATCCTTTTTATTACACATTGAAATTTATTTTAATTTATAAATTTCATTATAATTGAAAATGTTTGTCTTACAAAATCAACAATTTATAACACCAACACTCAATAGAAAACAATTAACAACTAAGAAATCAAACAATCAACCATGAATGAAATCAATAATAAACTAATCAAATAATCATTTCAGACTAATCTGCTTTCGAGTGGATTTTTTATATGAAAATTTTAGAGAATGTTTTTCATCAAGTGTAGATTTTGTCCATAAAATTTCAGCTTAAAATTTAATCGTGAAGTCAGTTAAATAAATTTTTGAAAAACAATACTCGAAAATATGTACAAAAACGCATTGTTTTTCAACAATTTATTTAACTGACTTCACGATTGAACTTTGAACTGATTTCTATTACATAATCTACACTTCATAGAGAACATGATAATAAGTTTTCACCAAAAAAAATCATTTCGATGAACTTCAACAAATTTCAGCCGAAAAATTGTTAGTATAGGGCTGGAAAATTAGCCTACTCATACTTAATACAAAGAACAAAATTTGGGCCTATTTTTTATCCATTTTTTTGGCCTAGGGCGTCTGCCCCCTTGCACCCCCCCCCCCTAGGGCCGCCCCTGGGAATAATGAGCTCCGGCCTCTATGAAAGTTGTCTCCTATTATTGAAAGGGCCTCTTGATATTTTTGAGGGGATTTGACATACATTAGACTAAAGAAAAAGATATGGACATAAATAAGACTAAATCTAAAAAATTGAAAACAAGTCAATAGTCTTGTCATCCAATGACTATAATGACCCGGATGCTCCTCCAATGACCAATCTACAATGGTGACATTGGCCTCGTGGTGACCCGTCGCCTAGTGATCTGTCATCTCTGTGACTTGTCACACAATGACCCCGCCGCAACTGTGACCCGCCTTGTCACGTCTGTAACCTCACATTAACACTCTAGTCCTTGCCTGGTGTGAAGTGACCTAAGTCACCATCAGATCTGTCCACTCTGCGTGTAACTCTAGTTGTCGCTGACACTTGAAGACCTAGTTGTCGATCACACCACTATTTCACCTATGCTCAAACAACCATCAATTAATCTTCAAAGACGAAGCAAAAGCATATCTGCGTCGTCTGACATTCTTTAGTGTTCGCACGGAAGAAATTAATTGCAATCGACAATGCCCAAGAGGAAGATCACTGAAGATTGAAGAAGCAGAAGCCCTCGTGCCTAATAAACGCATTGACCAATCCAACAATGACCATCTCTCTATCACTGCCTTCAGGCTTCATCGTCGCCAATAGTCTCCGGTCTCCACCACTGTCGTCATTGGTCATAGCCGCAATCATTGATTGTAGCCGCCACCACCATTATTCTTATGGAGAGCCGATGCATACACTAAGATGGCTAAAAAGTATGGAACGAGGGAGGTGTAAGTTGAGGGTCAGGGGAGGCTGAAGGATGAGACAGGTTAAGGGCATTTCAGTCCTTCCTGGGGATGGACCCGGGCCGGGCCGGGCCGGTTCTAGTTCGGGCCTAGGCCCAGCCGGGTTTTTTCTCTGGGAAGGGAGAACCAGAACCGGCCCGGGTAGGCAGCGGTTCCGGGCCGGTCCCGGTTCAATGTTATTTTTTTTCCTTTTGCTTTTGTAATTAACCCCCAACCCCCTTCCCCCCCTCACCCCCAACCCCCAAACCGCCCCAAAACACCCGGCCCAACCCAGTAGAAACGAAAAAAATTGAAAAAAAACAAATTGGCCCGAACCGGCCGGGCCGGTTCCACTTTTAGGAGGCCCGAGCCTGCCCCAGGAATTGAGCGGTTCAGTAGGCCCTAACCGGCTCGAAGACCGGCCATCCGGGCCGGGCGGCCCGACCTGAGTCCACCCCTAGTCCTTTCGCTTGTAATATGTCTTTTTTTTGCTCAACTTCAAAATTGTTCTTATTTTTATCCATTGAAAAGCCTATAGTATTACTTGTGACATTATTTCTTTTTTTAGTACTCTAATATGCTAAAAGTTCTTCAATTCTTTAGATTTCATTGAATGTGGATCATAACTTCTATTTAGATATAATTTTAAACATAGAACAAGCAAGAGAGATGATCATAGTTTTGACGTCACTGCCTTCAGTTGAAAGTATTAACATGTGCTAAGATATTTTGCAACATTAAATCATAAATATAGCACGCCCGATCACTTGGAGAGGGGTTCCAATCGGACTCGAGCTTCTGCACTTGACATTTTTACTCTTACATCGATCAATCGTATGTGATCGAGTCCCTACTCTATCACAGCAAAACAGGCTCGGCGACTTACAACTCAAGAACAGACCATCTGCATCAATCATATAGCCTGTTTCCATTTCTCTTTCCAAGTATGAACTATGAAGCATCTCTCAAAAAGTCCATATTTCCACCCTTTTGGTTTTTACATGATACAAGTCACCCATCTGCAATGCCACCTATGTCCTACACATCAACAATTGGACGATACAGATTCACCTGGTCTGGATCCTAGAGCCCCAACAATCCAATTGCAATTGGCCATTCAACGTTCCATATGGCTCGTCTCCAATTTGTCTGGACCGTTCTGGCGTTCTACGATCGCTCATGGTGAATTTTCAGCATCAAATGTAATTGCTTATATTTCAGTTTTCATCTTCGCGTTTGGAGCTTTAAAAGGTCTCATCATACCATTACTGACAAATAAACTTTACACTAGACTTGAAAACAAACCAGCAGAACTTATATGCAAGACAGGGGGCAGGGGTGGGGAGCAGTTAATGCTTCCTTTTGTGTTGTCAACATGGATAGAAGTTTTTGTTCTCTTGATTGAAAACATAAGAGTTACTATAATTGATTGTTAGGGAATTAAAGTAAGTAGCTAGTATTGATTACATTATTTTATTTATAATCAAACCGTTAAGTTGTGGTTGCCATGGGGTTGCCGAACAGGAATATATACATACTTCTGTGATAGTAATCGTAATCCTTTATCTGGAATCATAAAGCATTTTCGGAGTCTTTTGCTGCATTGTTGCATGCTGGAGACATTTAAGAGTTCGGAGCAGCGGCCTTTGGAATTCGTATCTGTAAAAACATAGGGTCGTTATTCATGTTAGCCTCCATTTTCCTCCAATCTGCATTTTCAGGGAGTTCAATCCTCCGTACGAATCCATGTTCCCACCAATGGCTGCTGCTTTTCCAGTCGCTCCCTCCACCTTCTCTTTGCTGCTCTCTCCACACTCCCCTGATTTCCAACACTTTTCTGTTTTCAATACAGATCTGAACGCCACTGTTCCCCACTCCTGTCATTCACACACCAAAACCAAAAAAAAAAAAAGAAATTAAAGAAAAAATGAAATGAGAACTATGTGTGAAACCAAAATCAAACCTATCAAAAAATCATCATAGCTATCTCGTTAAATGGACATAGTAAATACTGAACTCGGAATATCATCCTAAAACTCAACCTAAATGGCCCAAAATTATAGCTTAGCACGCTAGTGTATCATCACACTTAGAATCTACATTCGCAGAATCTAAGATTGGGTTAATATCATTCAATTCATCAATCGAATCATGGACCAATCCCACACTAAGAAAAATTAATCAAATTGATTATCTCCATATGAGATTCCTAATATAATGGTTTCCCTTTATTTGTGACATGAGCCTCTAACACTCCCCATCAAGTGGGCTACCAGGCCATTACCCGTTCCCAACGGAAGTCTCATGGGATGTTAAGATCCACATGCTGTAAGGTAATATTCATTTAGCTGGATCGAGTAATTGGGACTATGACTGAACTGAGGGTTGATGAACAAGACACAATTCAAGAATATTAAAATCTATAGTTTGGAACTGATCCTAGAGCACGCCAGGATTAGTACAGTGTTAGTATCATGGTATCATTCAATTAGACCATAAGCCACAACTGAAAACTTGAATCCGGCCTATAAACTTGTTCAACACAAAATATTATTAATGTATGGTAGTAATTTCTCTTCATTTGCCCATGCAAGACTCCAAAATAAGTACATCTCTAAATATGATAGGAGCAAATAGCTCAAAATTGTATACTTTGATAAATCTGTGAATATACCGGTGAAGTATGGAACTTCAATTCTTAATACAAGTGAATAAAGACACTTGTGATTAGATCGTTTCTGCCTCATACATAATTTCAGGTAGTAGGTTTTAGAGTCTGCTTAACCCTTATAGATGCTAAATATAAATACAAAGTAACAAAACTCATCTGGTTAAAATTTCATGAACTTGACGATAAAACTCAAATTACTTCCTACCATCAATTTACAGTTCGTATGGTAATTTAGGAGTAGTAATAAAATCAAAGAGTTGAAGCCATATCTGACCTGGTAGTTCAGCTTTTAGTGTAAAATCGGCATCGGATTGGAGCCAATCAACGTTGCAGTGATGATTTGAAGAGCGAAGTGTTGCCAACAGAACATCAGCCTCGAACTCCCACAGCGGGAAAGCATCAGAAGGGTCGAAGAATTTCCCAAACAAAAAAGGGCTGAAAAGCGAACCTCGGGAAAAAACCTTCTGCGCGGTTGCGTTGTTTTTTTCCTTCTCCATGAAGCTGCGAAAACTGTCTTCCTTGAGCGGAAGACGCCATTTCTGCGGATTTGAATCTTCAAACGAAATCTCAACTTGCTTGTGGTTGCTGCTCATCGTCATTCGGCCAGCCTCAAGGGCATTTTTTATTATTGTAGAGCCAATCTCATACTATCGTCTTTTTAATAAATAAACAAATAAATACTCCGTAAACAGTACAGCAAATGGCAGGTAATGCAGAACAAATTCTTCTGTGGGAATAATAATAATGTTGAAAAGAGAGAATAATTCTTTCACATCTTCATCACACTGTTCGTTGTGTTTAACACAGCACGGCCATCAGATGAAATGCCCAACAAAATCAACGGCACTCTTTCATTCACGTCCCATAAGGTATAAGGTTGAATCATTTCCGAAGGGGTGCTACAGCTTTAAAAGGTATATGACCTTTGGAAAATGGCTTTTTAACTAGGGGTGGTTGCCAGCAGGGCCGGCCCAGGGGGTGTGTAAGGTGTCCGACCGCACAGGGCCCAAAAACATGGAAGGCCCAAAAAAAATACATTAGTAGTAGTATTACTACTAGTCTACTACTCAGTATAATTAAGCTAGTCAGCCCAATAGCGAACAAAAAGGTGCGGGACAAGCATAGCAATCTGCGAAGAGGAAGCGCATAGGCCAAAGGACATAACGAGTGACTGAGCGAGACGAGCGACGTGTCGACGACTCTCCGTCTCCAGGCTCTGCTCCAGCCATCCTGATTTCTAAGTTGTTGCGGCGATTCGGCCTTCAGACGGCTGCGGTATTCACTTCTTCCCATCGGCAATGGACATCCACTCACTCATCTAGGACGGCGGGACTCCACTATTCTAGGTAAATTCGTAACTAATAGAGAGTAATTATTCTTTATGAATTAATATTGTAATCTGAGTTCAACAAAGTGATATTAATAGGTTCTTAGGTTGTTAAATTTGTTTTTGTTTCACTATATAACTTTATGCGTAAATAATTTTTTTCTTGGATTTATTACTGTTAGTTAATACTATAGTTAATACTAGCAACTTCTATTTGGAAATAATTCTTTAATAAATTACTACTACTCCGTATTAACAATTTACCATTTCAATTAAAATAGCATTTCTATTAACGATTGAAAAGAAAGGCCTGATTTTTGTTGTTGCACAGGGTCCTCGTTTTCTCGGGACCGGCTCTGGGTGGTTCGGTACGGTATACCGAATATTTTATCTCATACCTTTATCATACCGTAAATTTTCGGTATGCGAAAATGCATACCGTTACCATACCGAAAATTTCGGTATACCTTGTTTCGGTATACCGGAATTTCGGTACGGTAAGGTACGGTATCGGTAAATTATCATGATTTAATATAACAAAATATTCTATGTCAAATAAAATATTGAAAATCAGTTTTAATAGTGATATACTACAATCATTAATGAAATTAATTATAAAATACCAATGATAACCTATTGGTGTTCTATTCAACTTTGAACAAAAAATTATTATAATTATGTTTAGATATTTCAACACTTGATACATGAAGATAACAAAACATTATACTAAAAAAATTTAAACAACATAAATAAAATTAAAATAAAACAGATCTCCAACAAAAAGTATAAATGATTCAAGAAAGATGGATATAAAGTCATTTATCCTTGAATTAGTGTTGTGTTTCTAGTTATTATTTTTATAATTTTAAATAAATTATTGGCTTGGAATTCAGTATGACGGTATAGCGGTATACCGTTCATTTCTAAAATATATACCAATACCATACCGAAGTAATTCGGTACGGTATCATACCATACCAAAAGTGTCGGTATACCAAACATTTCGGTAAATTCGGTATTTTTCAATATGGTAAGTCCGATATACCGAAATTTCGGTATTTTCCCCCACCACTGTTTTTAACCATTTTTTTAAAATTTTGGGCACTAATTGTTTTCCATATTGATTCTTTATTACCCGTTCAGGTTAAGTTCTAGCGGTTCAAAAGCCCAACACGGTCCAATATTGGGCTTTCGTGTGCTCTTTTACCGATCATTGCATTTGGTGTATTAATTAAGGTAATATGAAGGCAAAAACAATAGCAGGAAAGAATGAGACGTAAAGTGGGTCAAGTTCTATTACGATCTTACCCAGTCCAAATCCCAACCCCCTATTCTACAATGAGTTATAACAGAAGAGCTAGAGAGAACTCTAAGTTAAAAAGTATACAAGTTTGTCAATTCCTTACAATGAAATAAATGTGAGTGTTTATACTACAATGTAGTAGGTGTAGGTGATGATGTGTCGAGCCCTCATTGGATAGCCCCTAACCATAAAATTCTCTATATATAATGCACTTCACGCTAATTCTAGCTTTCCCACCGACCGCTTTGGGGAGCTCCTCGACATACAACCAGCACTACCCTAGAAAATACCAAGCATCAGAATATTACCGACTGGCGGATCCCGTGCAAAAGGTGAGCATGCATGCTAGTTAGGCCGTCCGGGGGGGGGGGGGTATTTGGGCTTGAACCCAATACATCAACACTACTAAAATCATTTTCAAATATACTTATTATTTTACAACCTTTTTGAATTGTTATTTCCATAATAGTTATTCAAATAAGTTTCTCCAACATATTTTATGTTATAGTTGAAAACAACTTTTTAATTATTAATAATCATTGTTCACAAATATTGATTCAAAAGATCTAATTGTGTCTTTTTTGTACAATAAGTGTTTTTGCTAGATAATATTTAGTAGTTATCAAATTTTAATATAACAATGGTTTAATAATAATTTTAATTAAACTTATCAAATATTTTTAATCAAAACAACACGTGATAATAGAGGGGGCTGTATATATTATAATATAATATTGGAATACATAAAAATGAAGTTTTGAAAGTTGATGTATTTTCATTTATGGTGTTGTCACATGTCACATTTTTCTTATAAAGATGTTGTCACATGTCAATAATTCATCTAAAGAGTTCTTCAAGAGTTGACTTTATTATATTATACGTAGTATAGATTATATAGATATAGATATAGATAAAATGAAGGGCATGAGTTTATTCATATTCGTATAAACTTAGAATCTACAATCACAGGGCTTATATTAATATATACTCCGTATTAATCATCTACAAGTCTCTAACTACGTCTAACTATGCATATGTATCATTCCAGATTTCTTCTAAAGAATATCTTTATATATATAATAAAGGGAACATGGTGGAAATCCAAATAGAAATCTATTTGGAGTCAAAAGAGATGAAAAATTGTTGTCACTATTAATGAAGCATTACTTAATAAAGCCATATTAAGTGCCAACCTAATTAATTGTTGTAAGTTACAAATAAAACTTTAGAAAATTGTTGTCACTATTAATGAAGCATTACTTAGTGAAGCCATATTAAGTGCCAACCCAATGAATTGTTGTAAACAAGTAAGTATTTTAAACATCCTTTAAAATCACATTTTTTAAATGATGTTTCCTTATTTTGAAATGATTTTTAGCATTTCCAGTTTTGTTTATGAGTCAAATTGGTTCAATGATATTGAATTATACAATTTTACGATTCAACTCGCGACTTTAACAACATTGATATGTAGTTCTTATAAAACATACAATGATTTTAACAATCTTGATCTGTAGCTTTTATAAAACATATATTGAGATGAATGAAGAGATATTACGGAGTATAAAATAAATATTTTCACTTCTTAGATGGAATATATTTAGAAACTTTAAAACACAACAAGATAGTAAAAAGTAATGTCATGTGTTGAAAAATCATCATAATTATAACTAAATAATACTCCATACTACATATGAGATTATAATATGATAACAATTGTTATCGTCTTCATTAGACAATATATGTATGTGATGAAAGAATACTTATTTGGTAGTTTTATACTAATTGGTGTATCTCTAACAATTATCATACATGTATTCTAATATAATTCCATATCATGTTTGTATTTTTATACAATAAGTATGTATATACACATTACTCATGAAATAAATTATTTGTAAAAATAAATTGATTTCATTTGTTCTCCGTGCAACGCACGGGTGGATTGACTAGTAACTAAGGATGTTTTTACTTGGACGGTAATTTGTCCCAGGCCAGACCAGACCAGACCAGACTAGTTCAGACCAGACCAGATCAGACCAGACCAGACTTGGATAGTTATAAAAATACAAAGAAACCAGACCTTACCAGACCAGACCAGACCGGACCAGACCAGCAAATTACAGTCCAAGTAATAACATCCTAATTATATATGTTTAATATATGCATATATTTTTTCTACTAACACTAGATAAGAGTAATAATTTTATAAAATTCATGTGTGGAATTATCACACTTTGAGTTTATGAATTACTACAATGTGTGAATACATATATGATAGATTATATGGGTTTGGACCCCATGACCCACATACTCGTAAGGTCAACCATATATACCAGAAGAACATCCACGTGGCCCCCTTCGGCCTAGTGAGTCCCGCAACGGCCAGAACCAGATCAGCCCAGGACTCCGACTGGAGAACAGATGGGCCTCGTCGGCCAGAGGACCGCATCGGCCAAAACGCCCCGCATCGGCCAAAAGTTACCTTGGCATAATGCATTTTCCTATCTTTTTACCAAGTATTGTACTCAACCCACTAGTGGCCCTATTTCGCCCAAAGAAGACATGATTATTGTAATGAGCCTCTTAAGCCCAAGGCTAGGAGCCCAAATCCACATTTTTACCTCTAAATAGACCCCTTGGGGCTAGTTATAGGGGGTTGAGAAATATTAATTACTCACTTTCTCTCTCTAGCTCTCACTTTTCTCTAGAATTAAATACTCTATCAATATATATTGACATACGAGAGTTCTTATGAGAACTTCTCTTAAAATGAGAATACATTTTAAAATAAAAACTTCAATCCTTATGTTCATCATTCATTTTTATATTCAATGGCTAATAATGATAATGTGACAATTTTGTAAAAATTTAGGATTAATTGCAAAAAGTCTCATTTGAATATGAGATAATTATTAATATGATCCCACATGAACTTGATTGCAATACATGAAAGATCTATGTTAAAAAATCTCATTAATCATTATAAGTAGTTATCATTTTAGGAGGTGTATTCGTTAAAACTCTCACTAT